AACCTTGGAATGTTCATTTCTGCCCACTAAGTATAGAAACACGTGATGAGAGATGACATAAGCACGAAAGAAGGCAAAGCATACACAAGACAGCTGGATGGGGGCCCTTATAGATGGAGAGACATTCACTGGTAGAAAAACACGTAGATTTGACTCATTATCCTATTTGCAGGGGGATCCCTATGGCAGATGCGCCCAGCGATAAGACGGTAGAAATTACTCCATGCACATTGGCGGGTTCGTAGTCCCAAGTATTGGACCTGGACCCCCCCTCCCATCACCATCACAGCCAACACAGGAGAACCCGCTTTGCCTCACCCACACCCTTCTCCTTCACCACCCGCCAACGTCGTTATTTCAAGATCCCTACCTTTCCCCCAGACTCTTGTCAGACCTGCCATTCCCTGAATTCGGTTCTGATCGTGGCTTGCAATCGGGTGGCACTGACGCTCTTGAACCCCCCGCTCCCAGCCTGCCACTAAGCGACACGGAGATCCTTCTGAGCGGATCAAGTACCCCCGTCCTGAGACCGACCTCTGCGCTCCTTGGTCTTCTTTGCACTCCGATCGTCAATTGTCCCATTTCAGGTCAGAGAGGTACGTGTCGCTCTCTCTCGTTGTCGCCTCATCTTTGCCGTCCCTTTCTCCCCAACATTGAAGCCTCATGCCCCGTGCGCGTGCTGCTACATACCCGTGTTCTGTACCTAGCACTGCCATTCGAACCTCACCCGCCCCCTTTGAATGTTCGCATGTCGATAGCTCAGATTCGACATCCCAATCTTCCCGGCAATTCTATTACCACCGGCCCTTCCAAATACTCATGATTCTCTCTTACTAGACTGATCCAAATAACCCGCCCCTCCTCCCCTCCCCCTCGTGGCTTTCTTGAGCGGCCTTTTCAGTTGCCGCTCTCCCAAGTCGCCCTGGCTAAAGTGCAGCGCCGGGCTGCACTTGCAACGAACAACGAGCCGGATTACATGAGGTATTTGATAACGGCGTGAAAATGAAGGGTTTCAGACAGAGAGTGGTATGTTTTGTGCCTATCCGAAGGCTCACCGTCTCCTCCAACCCCCCTCATCATCCCCCACTCGGGGTGATCTTTGAATCCTTCAGACTCTCCCGCTCCAATGATCACCTGTAACTAATTTTATTTGAAATGGGGTAGCACGAGCAGTTGTCGAGGGCAAAGGATGCCAACAAGTCCTCTAAGAAGAAAGAAACCACCTCGTCCCAGGGCCAGGCGTCCCTCGGCATCTCCCAATCACAACAGTCGACATCCCCCAGCCAAGGCACCCCTACCTCGTCTACAACCTCCTTGAATGATACACGAGGCAAGTCCCCAGACAATGCCTCCTCCCCGGCTGGAACCCCGTCCGGAGGCGCCGGTGCACCCGCTCAAAGTTATATATCTCAAGGTGCGGGAAATGCGGGCCAGCCTGCAAACAATGGCCCCGGGACTCCAACGAGACAGGGTCAGCCAATGGCGCCAAGTGTGATCATCAGCCCTAGCACGGTAAGTCAAGAGCTTCTTGATCCTGTCATGCTGAGTAGCCCGAACTAACCGCCTCGCCCACTTCTAGCACGTCCCTCCGCCCGGTGCTGCCGAGACAATGCCCGGAGACCTGGCGCCTCCTCGCAAATCCCATGTTTTCGATCGCCTCCAGACCACCCCCAAGGATATGTCGGAAGGAATCAGGACCCCCAAGCGCCAGCACTCATCGCGGTTCGACATTTCTGATCAACGTCAGAGAGAACTAGAGAAGTTGGCGGGTTTCCACGAAGTGCCGCCCAACCGCCGCCAGGATCTATTCATGCAGAAGATTGACCAGTGCAACATCATCTTCGACTTCAACGACCCGACAGCCGACATGAAGTCCAAAGAAATCAAAAGGCTGGCTCTTCACGAACTCTTAGATTATGTTGCCAATAACCGTTCCGTGATCACAGAGCCCATGTACCCTCGGGTGGTGGAAATGTTCGCCAAGAACCTGTTTCGACCGATCCCGCCTCCCATGACCCCCCAGGGCGAGGCGTTTGACCCAGAGGAAGATGAACCCGTGTTAGAAGTGGCGTGGCCTCATATCCAAGTTGTCTATGAGTTCTTCTTGCGCTTCATTGAAAGCCAAGATTTCAATACGAATATCGCCAAGGCGTATATCGATCATCAATTCGTGCTCCAGGTATGAATTCGCTCTAGTCCCTTTGGCACGCTAGAGTATGACATGGCTAATGATTTTTATAGCTGCTGGATCTATTCGATTCTGAGGATCCTCGGGAACGTGATTTCCTCAAGACTACCCTACACCGTATTTATGGGAAATTCTTGAACCTGCGGTCCTATATCCGACGCTCAATCAACAACGTTTTCTTCCAGTTCATGTACGAGACGGAAAGACACAACGGAATCGCCGAGCTGTTGGAGATTCTGGGCTCTATCATCAACGGCTTCGCCCTGCCTCTCAAGGAGGAACATAAGCTCTTCTTGACTCGCGTTCTACTCCCCATGCACAAGGTGAAGAGCTTGAGCATGTATCACCCCCAACTGGCCTATTGTATCGTCCAGTTTTTGGAAAAGGATTCGACCCTGACTGAAGATGTATGTGACAAACACGCCTGGTCAAATACCGAATCCACTAACATCTGTATTTAGGTGGTTCTTGGACTTTTACGCTACTGGCCAAAGACCAACAGCACTAAGGAGGTTATGTACCTCAACGAAGTCGAAGACATATTTGAGGTCATGGATCCTGCCGAGTTCGCTAAAGTCCAAGAGCCTCTATTCAACCAGCTCGCCAAGTCTGTGGCCAGCCCCCACTTCCAGGTTCGTATCATCGATACCTCACAGCTTGCTTCGCCTACTAATGCCACTTTACACTAAACAGGTTGCCGAACGTGCTTTGTATTTCTGGAACAACGAGTATTTCTGCAACCTCGTAAGCGACAATGTGGAAACCATTCTTCCCATTATGTTCGCCCCGCTCTACGAGAACTCCAAGGGCCACTGGAACCGGTTTGTCTATCATCTATGATCACCTACTCCTTGAACCCCGTCACTGACTGTTGAATTTGTCACAGTACTATCCACAGCATGGTATACAACGCCATGAAAATGTTCATGGAGATCAACCCGCAGCTCTTCGACGAGTGCTCGCATGAGTACACCGAACACCAGAACAACGCTGACCAGCGAGAGAAGTCGCGCCTGGACCGCTGGGATCTGATCGAACAACAAGCGACCATGCGGAAGAACGGGGCACCACCTCCACCTGCTCCAGTTCTCGATGTCCCCGAGCCGATTGATGAGGTGGAAGCAATGACTCACGAGAGCCAGAAGCGGCTTAACACCCTTAAAATCCAGGAGGAAACAGAAGCGCCAAAGGACCGCCCTGCACGAGAGGGAACCCCTACGTCGGTGAGTTCCGTGCATCTCTGAGATGTTCTTTCAAGACTACTCAGATCTATGCATTCCCATGCGGATCCTTTTCTTTACTTTTTTATGTTCCCCTTTTCAACGCCGTCATCCCTTGTATTCGTTTTTTTACTAAGAAACCCTCCCTCCATGTACAGCCAGCGTGATTCTAACGTGGAAACGTCCGTTTTGCTCCAGACTCGACGCCGTGGCTCCATTCGCGGTACCCGGAGACGACGAAGCGGCAGCGGCAGTGAAATCCGCCCGCGACGACGCTCAGTCGGCAGCGGTACCAGCGCAACCAATGTACAGATCCTGCATCGAAGCAATTCGACCAAATAATGGCCCCCTCCACGAGGTAACGGGGCAGTTAATGGACATGTGACCTTCCCCTTGATTTTCTGCAATCATGGCATAGCGAATTCGGGCCTGCAACAAACGTTTCTTTTCCTTCTTGAACTTTCGATCTACCCGAATTGTGTGATCCCCTTTTTAGCTTTCCAAGGTTCCCTATTTTCTATGCCATCCTGCTTTACTTTCCCCACTTTTTCTTTCTCCCTATCTCCCTTTTCATCTTTTGTGTGTACATGGCTTTTCTGATATTTCCCTTTCTGTGGCCGGCTCGTTTTGAGCCGGTGCTCACTGAGCGGATCTCTGAGTTGGACTCCGTCTTAGAACCGTGTTCGGGTATGGAAAATGGGTGCGAATGGCGTTTCCATCTACCGACCGTCGGTGTCGGTGGCTTTCTATGTGTTGCCAGATTTTTTTTCTTTTAGACAAGTACTGAGACATGAACTCGCCTTGGGACATTTTATCTTGTCTTTTATTTTCAGCCTCGATCCATGCTGTTCTACGATTTCGCGCTGGCAGCTATGTAACCACTAGATGTAAAGATTAGAACGTATATACATACTAGTAGTGGGTTCAATGAGACTTGCGCCATGTAGATCACTATGTAGTCAATAGTAGTAGTGTTAGATGATCAGAAAATTCGACCTTAAGATTGGTCACAATTTCTATACAACGAGTCCTGGCCTCGTGCCTTGTCCCTGGCCCTGGCCCTGGTCCCGCGCGTTTAATCGCTTGCCAAGCGCGCGTGACCGGAGCGGATCAACACTATCCGCGACCCCCAAAACGGACTAGCCCGTAATTACATAAGCGAATTCAGCGACGCTGGCCGCCCACCCTCCGCGTTCCTTCGCGAAGGCTTTCTGGATGGGCCAGGTCTCGCGCGCTTCAATCTCCAACCCTACTTTCTCTAGTCCCTCCACACCCTCCACCCCGCTGGGGCTCTTCAATTTCATTCACTACCGTCCACCTTCATTCTTTCAGACTGATTTTGACCGCCATTAAACGACTTAACGAATTACTATCTCGCTTTCCTATCCGCAATCGATCTTTTCGGTAATTGCAGCAAGTCCGCAGAGCTTCGACCACCCTTCGACCCAGCACATGCCACCCCGATTTTGACCCAACAATTCTTGCGCAAGGCTGGTTGTTATCATCATTCTATCAGCCGGCCACTGGGCCTGGCCGTGATTGTAGTCGTCTTCCCTTGATTGGCCCTTTGAGGGGCCCGACCAGCATCAGCGATGGAGCGCACGATCGATGTCTATTTCAACAAGCTGGGGGATGAAAAGCTTGGTATGTTCGAAAGCGACGGATAAAATACCATCGGTTGAGTTACATATGCTCAGTATTGATTGACCTTTGCTTCATTGTTATAGACATCAAAGTACGAGCGAATGTCGCAACCGAGTTGCGAGACAGCATAGAACCATTATGCGCGGGCGCAAACTATCCCATCTTTCTGGCCAAGCTTTGGCCAGTCTTCAAGGCTATCTTGAAGGGCGATCCGGTCTTCTTGAGCATGTCCTATGAGCAGGTGAGATCGACAAGCCGACGGGATTCGATGTTATGATCACTTCCCGTCGCCCATATTCAAGATCTGGACCTCGAAGTATCTAATGCCATCTAGAAACTCCGGAACTGTATCCTCGAGACGATTCACCGACTACCAATGTCCCCTTCCGATGTCGAACCTTACGCCGTGGAAATGGTTGATTTGTTGATGGAACTCGCGCGTATCGAGAATGAGGACAATGCAGTTCTGTGCATGAAGACTATCATGGATCTGGAACGTAACCAAGCAAAGGCCACCGCGGCACGGGTGCAACCTTTCTTGGAGCTCATTCAAGAAATGTTCCAGACCATGGAGCAAGTCGTTCGAGATACCTTCGACACCCCGAACCAAGCGACCCCCTCCGGGATGCCTTCGACTCCGAATGCGAGCTCACAGAACTTCCAGTCACCTCGACCGAGCTCGCCTGCCACATCAGTTTCAGACCTGGGCCCCGAGCAACAATCCAGCAATGTTCTTTTGAAGGGAATGCAGTCGTTCAAAGTACTTGCTGAATGCCCTATCATCGTCGTTTCGATCTTCCAGACCCACCGCGCTTCAGTCGCACAGAACGTCAAGCTTTTTGTACCCCTTATCAAGACGATCCTGCTCCTGCAGGCGAAGCCGCAAGAGAAGGCGCATGCTGATGCAGCAGCCCAGGGGACGATATTCACTGGCGTTTGCAAGGAAATCAAGAACAGAGCAGCATTTGGAGAATTCATCACAGCTCAGGTTAAGACCATGAGCTTCCTGGCCTATCTCCTTCGCCTATATGCCCATCAACTTCAAGATTTCCTTCCTACTCTCCCGTCTGTGGTTGTTCGGCTCCTCCAGGACTGCCCACGTGAAAAGTCTGGCGCTCGAAAGGAACTTCTTGTCGCGATCCGACACATCATCAATTTCAACTATCGCAAGATCTTCCTCGAGAAAATTGATGAGCTTCTGGATGAGCGAACATTGATTGGTGACGGACTGACAGTATATGAGACCATGAGGCCTTTAGCGTACAGCATGCTTGCCGATCTCATCCACCATGTTCGTGACCATCTCAGCCGCGATCAGATTCGTCGAACCGTCGAGGTATACACCAAAAACCTCCATGACGACTTTCCCGGTACCAGTTTCCAAACGATGAGTGCCAAGCTGCTATTGAACATGGCAGAGAAGATATCCAAGCTCGAGGATAAGCGAGAGGCTCGCTACTTTCTCATCATGATACTGGATGCCATTGGTGACAAATTCGCCTCGATGAATCATCAATTCAACAACGCTGTCAAGGTATCAAAGGTCTTCAAGGAATCTCGGAAAGAGACTGAGCCTTCAAATGACTCCTATATTGCTGAGAAGGACCACCCTCCTGATTGGGACGAAATAGACATATTCTCTGCTTCGCCAATCAAGACTTCTAGCCCGCGTGACCGTGGAAGTGATCCCGTTTCGGACAATATCTTCCTCTTCAGAAACCTCATCAATGGGCTCAAGAACATCTTCCACCAGCTCAAGAATTGCAACCCGGACGATATCCAGATTGACCCTAACAGCGTTCCCATTAATTGGTCTGAGGTTTCTTATGGGTATAATGCCGAAGAGGTCCATGTTATCAAGAAGCTCTTCCATGAGGGTGCTCGTGTTTTCCGCTATTACGGCGTAGATCAATCTCCACCGGAGGCCACCTACTCCTCGCCGTTCGATTTCCTCGCCAGTCAATATACGGCACCCATGTCCCGCGAAGAGAAGGAACTTCTAGAGAGCTTCGGTACTGTCTTCCATTGCATTGACACAGCAACTTTCCATGAAGTCTTCCACTCTGAAATTCCCTATCTTCACGAGCTGATGTTTGAGCATGGCGCGCTTCTCCACCTTCCACAATTCTTCCTCGCCAGCGAAGCCACCTCACCAGCTTTTTCCGGAATGGTCCTTCAGTATCTTATGGAACGCATCCATGAGGTTGGAACGTCAGACATGACCAAAGCGAAGATCCTTCTGAGAATGTTCAAACTCTCCTTCATGGCCGTGACGCTCTTTTCTGTGCAGAATGAACAAGTTCTCCACCCACATGTCACAAAGATTGTCACCAAGTGTATTGAGTTGTCAGTTACTGCCGAGGAGCCTATGAACTACTTCCTCCTTCTGCGTTCTCTCTTCCGCAGCATTGGTGGTGGCCGATTTGAGCTATTATACAAGGAAATCCTCCCTTTGCTTGAGATGCTCCTCGAGACCTTCAACAATCTCCTACTCGCTGCTCGCAAGCCCCAAGAGCGTGACCTCTATGTTGAACTCACTTTGACCGTACCTGCCCGGCTGAGCCATCTTCTGCCTCATCTCAGCTACCTCATGCGCCCTATTGTTGTTGCTTTGCGTGCCGATTCTGACCTTGTTGGTCAAGGCCTTCGCACCCTTGAACTTTGCGTGGACAACTTAACCGCCGATTATCTTGATCCGATCATGGCCCCGATCATGGATGAGCTGATGACCGCGCTCTGGGATCACCTTCGCCCTCATCCTTACAACCACTTCCACGCCCACACCACTATGAGAATCCTCGGAAAGCTTGGCGGTCGCAATCGCAAGTTCTTGAACCACCCACCAGAGCTGAACTTCCAGCAATACTCCGATGACAACCCCAGTTTCGATATCCGGCTAATTGGCCCAGGGGAGAAGCGTCCCTTCCCTGTGGATACCGGCATTGATCTGGCCATTGGGAAACTGATGGAAGCCCCAAAATCCACCTCGTCCAAGGGCTCTGACATTTACTACAAGCAACAAGCCTACCGCATGCTTAGTTCGCACCTCAAGCTTCAAATTGGATTTGAAAATCTGCCTGATGACTTGGCGTCTCTCATCAGACTTCATGCGAACGACCTTGTGGATGGAAAGGTTAATGCCATGGTTGACATTCTCGAGAAATCGGAGAGGTCGGCTTCCATTCCGAAGAAGGTGGCGCAGGAAGCCACTGTGAAGAAGCTCATCAAGGCCTGCATCTTCGCTACAACTATCCCAGAGCTCGAGACGTCTGCGAAGGCTTTTGTGGCAGATGTTTGCAAGCACATTACGGTCCTCGAGGTTGGCCGTGCTCTCTCTCAAGCCCGCCACAGCCGCAAGTCATTCGACGTAGCCAACGGAGAAGGTCCTGTTTATCTCGACTCACGAGTTCTCGCCGAAGTCATTGTTGAGACGCTCTCGTCGGACAATGTTCACGTTCGAGAAGCAGCTGAACAGGCCATGGTGGTTGTTAAGGAAGCGGCGGTCATCATCTTCGGCTCCTCTGAGAAAGCAGCCAAGCTTCCATTCTTCCAGCACTTAGGTCGTGTGTTCTGCCACAGCTGCTTTAGCGAGGAGTGGTTTACCAAAGCTGGTGGAAGCTTAGGTATCCAACTACTGGCCACTAAGTTAGATCTCGGTGATTCCTGGCTTTATGAGCGCCACATCGACTTCGCTCGTGCTCTCATCTATGTGATTAAGGACACACCGCCTGATCTTCCTGCCGCTACACGCATTCAAGCCCAAGATACATTGACCTTGATCCTCCGACGCGGCGGTAAGCTCATCCCTAAAGATGACGTTAAGAACGAGAAGAGCCGCGTTGTCGCCCTCTGTGGCTTCTTCGTCTTTGAACTTGGCCATATGAACAAGCACGTCCGCGAGACTTGTCGTCGTTGCTTCACCACTCTTGCAGAGGAGCTGGGCTGTGAGGTCCATGAGCTCATTCACCCGGTCAGGGACCGTCTTCTGCAGTCAATTTTCAACAAGCCTCTCCGCGCCCTGCCTTTCCCCACGCAGATTGGTTTTATCGATGCCATCACCTACTGCTTGAGCCTGCACAATGAAATCGTGACGTTTAATGAGCCCCTCAACCGATTGATGCTGGAGTCTCTCGCACTTGCCGATGCCGATGATGAGTCGCTTGCTTCAAAGCCAAACGAGTTCAAGAATGCCGAGATGATCGTGAACCTACGTGTCGCTTGCCTCCGCCTTTTGTCCATGGCCATGACTTTCCAGGAGTTTGCCAACACTCCAAACAATACCAGCCGTGCACGCATTATTTCTGTCTTCTTCAAGTCGCTATACTCTCGCTCCCCTGAAGTCATCGAAGCCGCTAATGCCGGCCTTAAGGATGTCCTTACCCAGACTAACAAGCTGCCAAAGGACCTATTGCAGAACGGCCTGCGTCCTATTCTCATGAATCTTCAGGATCCGAAACGTCTGAGCGTTGCTGGTCTTGACGGACTCGCCCGTCTTTTGACACTCTTGACCAATTACTTCAAGGTGGAGATTGGGGCACGTCTACTTGATCATATGAAGGTTATTGCAGACGATGGTGTGCTCCAGAAGGTCTCTTTTAGCCTTGTTGAACAGAACCCTGCCATGAAGATTGTGGCTGCGATCTTTAATATCTTCCACCTCCTCCCACCCGCCGCCACATCTTTCATGGAACATCTGGTCAACAAAGTACTTGATCTTGAGCAAAAGCTGCGACGCACCTCACACAGCCCCTTCCGCAAGCCCCTTGTCAAGTATCTCAACCGCTACCCGAAGGAGAGCCTTGCCTTCTTTCTTGCACGGTTCAAGGACGAGCGCTTCGGACGTTTCTTCGGACAAATCCTGGCCGACCCGGAGAGTGAGGCTTTGCGCAATGCGGTCGTCGCTGACACTGACGGATTCACCTCAAACGCTTTCGCACCCGAGGCAACTGATGGCAAAAACACTGCTGCCATCAATGGTATCTATGTTGCGCACTCTGTCTCTCTCCATGCCTCTACCAAGAATTGGCTGGTCTCAAACGCTGACTTAAGAGCCAAGCTATTGACCTCTGGGAGAGAGCTAGAGCGGAAACTTCGGGGTGATAGCTTGCCCCCTGATGAACGTCTGAGAGTCGAGCAGGCCGAAGATCAGTTGATGGATGTCTTCACAGTTTATCTCGGAGAAGCTTCTCATGACCTTGATTTCCTATTTGAAGTCATCGACGGTCTTTCCGCGGACGAACTTAAGCGCACACTGGCACTTCCTAAATTCATCTTTCGCCACATCATCACCAACGAGTCAATCGATTACCGTCGCTCAGTCATTATGCGCTGTCTCGACCTATACGGTCAACGGGCCTGCTCTCAGAAGACCAAGACCTATGCTTTCCGCCACCTGGTTAATCCAATTTTCGCAATGGATGTTCAAGCTTCGTGGAACAGCCCACCCAGTGCCCCCAGGTTGATGGACAAGAGCATGACTGAATCGATCCAAAGCCGCCTGTGGAAGCCACAATTGTCCGATGTATGTGACGAATCAAGCCAGGCTGGCGTTGACCATTCGCGAATGGAGTTGCTTCAACTGTCTGCCTTGTTGATCAAATATCACTCGCAGACCGTCCAAGAGTCCCGCAAGGACATCATCAAGTTCGCCTGGAATTACATTCGTCTTGAGGACATCATCAATAAGTACGGTGCATACGTCCTTATCAGCTACTTCATAGCGCATTACGAGACGCCTTACAAGATCGTCATTCAAGTCTACGTCGCTCTGCTCAGAGCCCATCAGAACGAGGGCCGGGCCCTTGTCACCCAGGCCCTTGATGTCTTAGCACCGGTCCTTCCAACACGCACAGCCAGCAACCAGGGCGCAGAGGCTCGCTACCCCATTTGGGCTAAATGGCCCCGCCGCATTCTGTCAGAGGAGACTGCCAACCTGCAACAGGTAATGAGCATTTTCCAGTTCTTGGTTCGGCAGCCGGATTTGTTCTATGAATCGCGCGAGCATTTCATCCCTCTCATCGTTCCCTCATTGATCAAGATTGCGGGTCCGCCAAATACCTCGAATGATAGCAAAAAGCTCGCATTGAATCTTATTGGCTTAATCTGGCACTGGGAGGAGAAGACTGCGCAAGCTGCAGAGACCCATGCGGCTGTACCCAATGGTGTTACTGAATCGCCGAACACGAAAAAGCGCAAGCTTGAAGAGGCCGATGGAGCGTCCCAATCACCATCTTTGGGACCTCCTGCTACCAAGGCGGATTACACAGTGCCGCCTGAGCTTCGTGGGGCTCTTATAAAATATCTCATCACCTTCATTACAACCATTCCTGAGCGCTTCCAGGTACCAGCTGCCCACATCCGCACGCTACCTTCCTCGAAGCCAGTCATGCCCGTACCCACGGGTGACATGGTCAACAAAGCCATCGGTCTTCTCAGGAATCTCCTCTCTCCTAAGTACTGGGGCGATCTTGACATCGATCTCTACCAGAAGGTGACCGAACCAATTCTAACTGGGGAGAAAGCCGACAAGCCTGATGACAAGCACATCACGGTCATGGTCAATGCCCTGCAGGTGTTGCGCGTACTTATTGCAGCGAAGCCCAACGAGTGGATCACAGCTCGTCTCACAAGCATTCAGAAGCTCCTCGAGAAGCCATTGAAGTCTGACAACCCGGAAATTCAAGATTGCTTGCATGGCCTGGAGGATGAAATGGATATTTCTCCCAAGTTGCCACCTCCAGTGCGCTATGTTCTTGAGGCCATTCCCGATGACCAACCCGATGAAGAGGATGCCATGGATACCGAAAGCACACCCTCAGAATTCGGAACCTACCTCTCCGCAATCGCCACCGAGACCCTCTCAGCAAGCAACTACGTGTCGAGTCTGAACACACTGTGGACGCTTTCGAAGATCAAGCCCGCTGAGATCGACACTCATATCCCTGCTGTCATGAAGGCATTCTCCCAAAAGTTGGCCAAGGAGCATGTTGCAGCGTCTACCACCCAGAATGGTGCGCAGAGTGGTACTCAGAATGGGCAAACTCCCCCCGAATGGACAAGCGCCCAAGCCGGCTGAGGGAGTTCCAGATCAACAAGAAGCCGAATTGGGTGTTGATCTCATTTTCAAGACAATTGAATTGATCTCAGTCCGGATGTCCCATCTTGGCGATCAGCGTCGCCCGTTCCTCAGTGTCCTCGCTTCGATAGTGGAGCGTTCGCAGAATATCAAGCTTTGCAGCAAGGTTCTGGGCATGGCCGAGTCCTGGATTTTCCACTCAACCGAATCTTGGCCCACTTTGAAGGAAAAGACAGCGGTTCTTCACAAGATGCTGCTGTTTGAAACCAGACCCGATCAAACGATGCTGAAGAAGTTCCTTGACTTGGTGATTCGCATCTACGAGGATCAAAAGATCACTCGCACCGAGTTGACTGTTCGCCTCGAGCACGCATTCTTGATTGGTACAAGAGCTCAAGATGTCGAGATGCGCAATCGATTCATGGGTATCTTCGACAAGAGTTTGACGCGCCTTGCTAGTTCGCGTTTGAGCTATGTTCTCACCTGCCAAAACTGGGATACCCTTGCCGATTCCTTCTGGCTGGCCCAGGCATCGCACTTGATTCTCGGCTGCGTGGACATGAATACAACCGCCCGCCTTCATTCCGACGATTTCACGCTATCACCCCTATCATTCCTCTTTGCGGGTGGCGATAAGGATGAAAGGAAACCAGACATCATGGTCGATAATAAGCTCGAGAACTTTGTCGTGGAGCGTAAGCGCTTCATGTCTGATATTGGAGACGTTCGAGTTCGGGACTTGATCGAACCTCTCACACAGCTTCAACACACCGACCCCAATGTTTCGTACAAGTTGTGGACCACACTATTCCCGATTTTCTGGTCAACCTTGTCAAAGGAAGATCGCATCGACCTCGAAAAGGGCATGGTCACATTGCTCACCCGAGAGTACCATCAGAGACAATTGGACAAACGACCAAACGTCGTGCAAGCCCTCCTTGAGGGCGTTGTGCGGGCTCGTCCTCGTTTCAAGGTCCCTCCTCATGTTATGAAATACCTCAGCCGTACCTACGATGCCTGGTATGTCGCTGCCACATACCTCGAGGAGAGTGCCATCAATCCCATCATCGACACCTCCACTGTCCGCGAAAGTAACCTTGATGCCCTGGTCGAAGTCTATGCCGGTCTCCAGGAAGATGATTTCTTTTATGGTACATGGCGACGCCGCTGCCGATTCGTTGAAACCAACGCGGCTCTGTCCTATGAGCAGCAGGGGATGTGGGACAAATCGCAACAGCTCTATGAGAATGCGCAGATCAAGGCTCGCTCTGGAGCTATGCCATTCTCACAGGGTGAATATTTTGTCTGGGAAGATCATTGGCTTATTTGTGCCCAGAAGCTCCAACAATGGGAGATCTTGAGTGATTTTGCTAAGCATGAGAACTTGAACGACCTTCTCCTTGAGTCTGCTTGGCGTAACATCGAGAACTGGCAGAGCGAAGGCAACAGAGAGCAACTGGAGTCTCTAATCAAGTCTGTATCAGACGCCCCGACTCCCAGGCGAACCTTCTTCCAGGCATTCATGGCTTTGCTACAATACCATGTCAAGAAAGAGAATATGCAGGACTTCAATAGCGTTTGTGACGAGTCGATTCAGCTCTCCATCCGCAAATGGCTGCAACTGCCGAAGCGTATCACCAACGCTCACATTCCCATCTTGCAACACTTCCAGCTGCTGGTTGAATTGCATGATGCCAGCCACATCTGCGGTAGCTTGGCTCAGACTAATGAGCGCAACCTCGATACCAAGTCAGCTGAACTCAAACTTCTCCTTGGAACATGGCGGGATCGTCTGCCGAATCTGTGGGATGATATCAATACCTGGCAGGACCTTGTTACCTGGCGCCAGCATATCTTCCAGCTTATTAACGGCACCTATCTCAGCCTACTTCCACCACAGACCAACAATGTGGCCAGCAACTCTTACGCCTACCGCGGTTATCACGAGACGGCTTGGATCATCAACCGCTTCGCTCACGTCGCACGTAAGCATCAAATGCCCGAGGTCTGCATCAACCAGCTGAGCCGAATCTACACCCTGCCGAACATCGAGATCCAAGAAGCATTCCTCAAGCTGCGCGAACAAGCCAAGTGTCACTACCAGAACCCGAAGGAACTCAACAGCGGTTTGGATGTTATTAACAATACCAATCTGAACTACTTCGGCCCCCAGCAGAAGGCCGAGTTCTACACTCTGAAGGGAATGTTTTTAGCCAAGCTCGATCATGTCAACGAGGCGAACGAAGCATTTGGCGTGGCTCTTTACTACGATCTCCGTCTTGCCAAGGCCTGGTCTGAGTGGGGACAGTACAGTGACCAACGATTCAAGGCAGACTCCTCCGATTATGAGCTGGCTAGCAACGCAGTCAGCTGCTACCTAGAGGCTGCTGGTCTATACAAGAGCGCGAAGTCCCGCAAGCTGCTGAGCCGCATCTTATGGCTGCTCAGTTTGGACAATGAGGAGGGCCAGATCGCTAGTGCCTTCGAAAACTTCAAGGGCGATACTCCTGTCTGGTACTGGATTACCTTCATTCCTCAGCTCCTTACCAGCTTGTCTCATCGCGAGGCTCGTCTTTGCAAGGCTGTCTTGGTCAAGATCGCCAAGTTGTTCCCCCAGGCTCTCTTCTTCCTCCTCCGTACGAACCGGGAGGACATGCTTAGCATCAAGAAGCAGCATGACCAGAAGCAGGAGAAGCTGAATCGTGCCAGGCAGCAGCAACAGGCTAGCTCCTCGCCCAGTACCAAACCTCCTGCTGCCGGTGAAGCATCTCCAGCCCAGAAGCCTCCGACTAGCGTGCCTCCTAGTGCTTCCCCAGCTGGTCAGAATAGCAACTTGCCGCCAACTCAGTCTCCTGCGCTGAATCAGAACCAGCAAGCCCCTAACCAGTCCCCTGCCCAGCCTGTCCAAGCTTCGCCGCTTCAAGGTCAAGCCCAAAGTCCAGGCCAAGGTCAAGCTGGTCAAACACCCGTCTCGCAAAACCAAGGACAGACTCCAGGTCAGCAAGGCCATCTCCAAGTTCCAGGTCAGGGAGTCCAACAGCAGCCAAACCAAGCGGTTTCCACGGAGTCAACAGAGAAGGAGCCGCTCAAGAAGCCATGGGAATACTCAGACGAAATCATGTCCGGCCTCAAGACCGCCTTCCCGTTGCTTGCTCTTTCTATGGAGACCATGGTCGACCAGATCCACAAGAACTTCAAGTGTCCTCCCGACGAGGATGCTTACAGGCTTATCGTTGCTCTCTTGAACGATGGTCTCGCCTACGTGGGTCGTATGCCTCAGTCTTATGCACAGGACACCAAGCTTCCCGCGGCCACAGAAGCCAACATCACTAGGTTCGCCGAGACAATTCTGCCGGCACACATCCGCAAATCTTTCGAGGCGGACTTTGTGACTAAGAAACCCACGATGCACGAGTACATCCAGAAGCTTCGTCGCTGGCGCGATAAGTTTGAGGAGAAGCTGGATCGTCGAGCCCAGCACGGGTCTCTTGAGGGATACTCCCCGCACCTGAGCGAGTTCAGATTTCTCAAGTTTGACGAAGTTGAGATTCCTGGACAGTATCTGCTGCATAAGGACAAGAACCAGGACTTTGTTCGCATTGATCGCTTCCTGCCCGATGTGGATCTGGTTCGTGGCATTGGAGTCTGCCACCGCCGTCTCAAGATCCGTGGCCACGATGGTAGTATCCACGCTTTTGCTGTCCAGCATCCTGCCGCGCGCCACTGCCGTCGTGAAGAACGTATTCTTCAACTGTTCCGTATTTTCAACGGGCTGTTGGCGAAGCGTAAAGAGAGCCGACGTCGCAACCTTTACTTCCACCTGCCGTTGATGGTGCCTCTGGCCCCTCACATCCGCCTGGTTCGCGACGATTCGTCATACATCTCTATGCAAGGTATCTATGAGGATCACTGCAGACAGGTTGGTATCAACAAGGATGAGCCAGTGCTCTTCACAATGGAGCGCATGCGGTCTCTGGCAGAAACAAAGCAAAATGTAAGTTTCTCTGCGATTGAGTCTTCTCTACCACGCATTACTGACAGCTCCCGACAGCGCACGGCCGACCAACAACAGGTGCTTCGGACTGAGATCTTGACTGCCATTCAAGAGAAATGGGTTCCTAGCAATGTGGTGCTAGAGTACTTCCAGAAAACGTATCCCAACTTTGCCGATTTCTGGCTCTTCAGACGACAGTTCGCGTACCAGTACGCTGCGGTCGCTTTCATGACCTATGTGATGCACATTGGCAACCGTTACCCCAACAAGATACTAGTATCGCGGTCTACAGGTGATATTTGGGGAGCCGAGTTGATCCCAACGATCAACCCGGCGAAGGCTATCTTCTTCAACCCAGAGCAGGTTCCCTTCCGATTCACCCCCAACATCCAGACTCTGCTGGGCCCTATTGCTACGGAGGGCCTGTTTGCCTGTGCCATGATGGCCATCGCGCGCTGCTTGACGGAACCACGCCACGAGCTCGAGCAACAACTGAGCGTATTTGTGCGTGATGAGATGATGTTCTGGGCTACTGCCCAGCACCGTGGTCAGTTGGCTGTGCCACAGTTGCGTGATCTGGTCTATAACAACAGCGAGATCATCGTCAACCGTGCCGTCAGCTTGGCCAGCCCGCCAGAGGGCAACTTGCCCGCCAACCAGACAACGATCGATTTGATCTCCCGGGCTGTCAATCCCCAGCACTTGGCCTCTTGCGATGCTTTGTGGATGCCATATCTCTAAAGGGAAAGAAGAAAGGGTTGGTTTCTTTCTGCTTGATTTTTTTATGATTTGTTGCTCAGCATTCAGGTGGTGCATTTTTGCTTCTGGTTGTTGATTTGTTGTCATTACTTTGCTTGCTACCAAACGGGTGGTTACTATGGCTATTTACTTGCTTTTGAGCGTGGCGCATTGGTGAGGACCCCTCTTACCAGGGTGATCTTTGTGATACCGTTTTACATCTTCTTGTATGACTTCTGTTATTTGTTTTCTTACCTGGAAGAATAGCTTCTTAATGTATTTCGAACCATTCAATTTTTTTTTTCAAAATCATTTGCCATGTGTATACTGTAGATGAGGTGTATGATGTACTAGTAGTTGATTCGTAAATTCTTGAAGTGGGATGCCAATGAAAATAAAGCTATTGCTGCCATCCAAATTTCCAGACGCCGGCGCCAATAGAACATGTATTCCAAGATCTTAAACCAGTGAGGGCTTCTTTTTGATACCCAAAAGATTGCCGCTCTTCTTAGTCTTCTTCACTCTGCTAAAAGATGTTGATGAAGGCGGGGGCATCGAGATCGACGCGGCGGGCTTAGATTGTGCTGATACCGGAGCTGCGGTCGGAACGGGATCCTCTTCCTCCTCCTCAACAATGCGCTTAATCCTCTCCCCATTGGCAGTCATGAACGCCTTGCGCGCAGCCTCTTCATCCTCCCTTTCAGCTTGCAGAAGTGACTCGTCGACCTGTTCATGAATAGAATCAAGAGCCGCCTCGTCATCCTTGCCTTCATTTCGTGCAATGCGTGCATTTCGAGTACGGATTTCGTCCAGCGCATCCGCAATCGCCATCTCCCGCTTCGAATCATGCATTTTCTCTTCCAACTCGGCCATCTTATCACGTTCTTGTTGTTCATGTTCGGCATTCTCTTCGCGCTCGAGCCGGTCGAGGGTTTCCTCCTCAGTTTCATTGTATTTGCCGGACTTGGAATCGCGCCATGGCTCGAAGTTTCGCTTGGCACCCTTTTCGCATTCGTAGTCCATGTTCTTTGGATCGGTTCGGAAGGTGATCTCTCCACTGCATCGCGTACAACGGATGAAGAACCGGTAGATAGGGATATTGAGGTATTTCTCTTCGAGGGTTTGTTTGCGGGCGTTGAATTTGCGTCCTCGGTAGATATATTCGCCACAGTTGGTGCATTTCATAGGGAAAGGTGCCATCAATCGGACGGTGATGACTTTTGGGCCCTGCTTGCGCAAGTGCTTGGGTGTGCGCCCGATCGCACTGGGATCGAAATCTGGCGGGTAGTATTTGGTCAAGACTTTTCGCTCAGACATTTTGGCGGTTTGGGTTCCTGAGCTGGTGGGAAGAGCGAAGAGAGCGAAGCTGGGTGAGATGAAAGTTGCCCGATGAGGTGCCTTCGCGGTTCGATGAGAGGAAGAAGTGGGGAAGAAGGAGTTCAACCAATTAAAATACTCTAAATACTGCAGAGCCACACCGCCTCCAAATCCACATTGCTTATCATCACATGATATGGATCACGTGTATTGACACTGGGACGAAAGGCAGCGTCGATGGGCTGGCACAAGTCAAAAGAATTGGCCGTCGTCTTCTTCCAAGTGTTTCAATCGTGGATTTGAAGTCTTTGTCGTTCCAATCCAATCTTTCATCAGTCCACACAGCTTCTCAACCTCGTTGTTGTGGCGGTCTCCGTGCACGGGCCATTTGTTTTGTCCACTGTTCGACCCGCTCATGCGAGCAGCACCGCGCAATTGTCAAATTCTCCGAAGGCGGATTGCTGGAGTCCATGCCCGCCGCCTGTTTGAATCTTGCTCATTCTGGTGTTGACGCGTCTGATCCGTGGTCATGGAACGGTACTTGCGCTCCTGGAGACAGGACGCGTTGAATCGCGGCCAGCATGATTCCGCCATCTACATCGGTGACAAGGTTCTTGCGCTCACCAGTATGCCCTCCTGTCGCGCGTGAATCATGGAGTTGAATGCTGACTACTTGCCGTAAAGATAGTGACTCGGATGCTTTTTGGTTGGCACAAGTCCATTTCTCCAACAATAACTTCACTCGTGCCTTAGCCCTCTTATCCCGCAAAGACCTCATCTCGCGAAGCACCGCCTGCCGCTACCTCGCAGCTCATTGCTACATTAAACAGAGCCAATTTGACCAGGCCTTGTCAATCCTGGGTGAGCACAATCCCACCGATCTCGTCCGAAACACCAACAGTCGACGTAAGATCCAACATCTCAATGGTCAAAGCCATGTAACAATGCGCAATGGCAAGCACCCAACATCACGAGCCGAGAGAGCGGAAGAACGAGAAAAAGAAGACGCGAATAATGTCAGATTCGAGGCGGCAATGTGCTATCTACGGGGTCTTTGCTTTGCAAAACAAAATGCTTTCGATCGTGCCCGCGATTGTTACAAGGATGCGGTGCGGATTGATGTTCAATGTTTCGAGGCCTTCGATCAGTTAATGAAGAACTCGCTCATGTCACCGGCCGAGGAACTGGAATTTCTCGAATCACTGGACTTTGACGCAGTCTCCTCGCCTGACCCCGCTGTAGCCCAAGAGGCGGCCGACTTCACGAAAATGCTCTACACCACCCGTCTCTCCAAATACTCTGCGCCAAACATCTTATCCGACGCGACAGAGACCCTCTCTACACATTACAATCTCGCCGAAAACCCAGATATCCTGCTTGCGCGTGCCGAAGCTCTCTTTACCCAGTGTCGCTTTGCAGAAGCCCTGGAACTCACATCCTCTATCCTGTCTACGTCTCAATCTAACGAATTAACGACCACAAATAGCCCAAGCATGGCTGCCCACAGCCACCTTGGGCATTCCCCTGGAGTTTACCCGCTACACCTGGCCTGCCTTTATGAAACTGGAGCTACTAATGCTCTTTTCTTGCTCTCGCATATGTTGGCAGATCATGCCCCAGAAGAGCCATATACCTACCTTGCCATCGGGGTTTACTACCTCTCGGTCTCAAAAATTGCTGAGGCCCGAAGATTCTTCTCCAAAGCCTCTTTACTTGATCCTCACTCCGCACCTGCTTGGATTGGTTTTGCACATACCTTTGCCGCGGAGGGTGAGCATGACCAGGCAATCGCTGCGTATAGTACAGCTGCACGACTTTTCCAAGGCAGCCATCTCCCACAACTTTTCCTTGGAATGCAGCATCTCGCGCTAAATAATATGTCACTTGCCCACGAATATCTTTGCGCTGCATATTCTATGTCAACAGGCTCTCCTGTGAGCAATGTTCCTGGTCTTCCGGGTAGCTCGCCATCTATCCCCCTTGGAGGTGATCCTCTCGTGCTGAATGAGCTTGGTGTTGTCTATTACCACCAAGGTAATCTACCCAACGCCATTGAGCTGTTCCAGCAAGCTCTAAAGCTTGCCGGGTCTCTTCATTGTGAACCTGGTGCCTGGGTTGCTACTCGTGCCAACTTGGGCCATGCACTACGCCGCATGGGTCGTATTCCGGATGCCCTTCGTGAATTCGAAGAGTGCTTGCGTCTTGGTTGTGGAGGAACAAGCATGGGCTATTCTCCATTTTTGGGTGGTGGCGCAGGAGGCTCCGCGGCCGTTGCCACAGCATCGGGGGTAGGGGGGTTATGAAGATCGTGGACTGGTTGGGTCATTGCATACGTCGCGTGGCTTAATGCTTCTTGAGCTTGGCCGGACTACGGAAGCTGTGACAGCACTACACGAAGCCGTCCGTGTCCTAGGCGCCAGTGGCGGTGGTGACGCTGCTGGTGGCGCCGGAGTCGCTGGCACACTTCTTTCCAGGGCACTCGAAATTTGGGCCTCAGAAGGCCATCAGAAAGACCGTAGAGCCATGGAAGATGGGTCACGAATGTCCAACAACCGAAATTCAAACAGAATTCGAGGCAAAGATCGGATGGATGAACCGCGTCGGCGTGCACGCCCGGATACCTACACAGAAGAGTGGACCGACGAAGTCACACACGCCGCGACACCAGACTCCGCTGCTACGAACGCCACTGCGGAGGCAAATGTCGAAATGGAGCTGGACGAGGAGGCAGACGGATTATTACGCAGGGCTCTTGGTCGGATTCGACCCAGTCGTCAACGTCGTCCAGCCGAACCAATGACTCCGGAGATGAACACCAACGACACACCAGCGCGCAGTCGTGGCGTCAGATCTGGTCGGAGTCAATCCCGACAATAATTGCGTTTGAAAACTACCTGGGATAGAAAGGACTGGATGGATTTTTTTATTGAAGCATTTTGCAGCCGGCGTCGAGGGAGAGAATTGGGAAATGGTTATTTTTTTCGGGGGTTGAAACTCGGAGGCATCTGCATGTTGATACCAGTGCAGCACAATTTAGTTACTACCAACGGCATTCAGGTTGACAGCTAGAATAAGATGCCTAGCCTTGACTGTACCAAGTGTATCATCCAAACTCCCAAAGTAATTTGAAGATAGATCAAGACATGTATTATTCTAGGTTAGCCACTCCGCATCACGAACCCCCGCAGCAGCAGAGTGTCGATTTCATGCTTCACCCCTCCAAGCCAGCCCTGACAACGGCCATCTTCGTCTGCACAACATGACACGGACTCCATTTTAGCGTTCAATCTGGGCCATTCCCGCGGGAAGCAAGCCTCGTACCAAGATTGCGAAAGGTGTAGCCTGGCGTCGATGTCCTTCCTTTGGCTCTAGCTTCGTGGGGCGGGAATCAAGGCTAGGCAGCGATACTCTTTCTAGTCTAGGCAACGCGTATGGCAATGGCAGGTGTTTGGCCTCTATGTTTCCATTCGACCGTTTAAAGATCTACAATGCAAGATTGAAATGGCCCCGGGGACGATACGTATGCTGCTGCGCGTACAATCACGAAGTCGTAGAGTAGAGAAGAGTATGTACTGTATTGCAATATAGTCACGATCTGGTTCATCTACACCTGTACGGAGTATTTGCATCCATCAACTAGTTAGCTACCTCAGTAATCTACTTGTATGGTCAAAGTGTTGGCGACAATTTTGATTTCGTTTTCTGATTTTCTTTTGGGTCTTTTTCTCTTCGCGTTCCCCACTTATTGTCATTCCTTAGCCATTTAGCCGCATGCTGGAAAGTACCAGCATATTACTATCTCCGCAGCATCAGGTAGATTTTTCAAAGACAAGTATAGCAGGTCAAGTTTGCTTTATGGGCGGTGTGACATGATTGAGTTTGATGATTGAGTTTGCCCAACGCACTGTCCAGGTGTGGTTCGATTGGATTCAGGGGTTCAAATAGTCTCATCCTTTGTCGCAGCTACATAGGATTAAAACTCGCTTAAAATTAGGAATTAAAGCCCGAGAAAACCTTGATAACCTTTTTAAGACTGCTAGTCCGTACTTTCTAATCCGTACTTGGTGCGGAACACTGCGTACTCCGTAGATAGAACGTGTTCACACGTTGGCCTGTGGATCCTGGTGGATTCGTTATGGGGTCGTCGGGAAAAGTATACAGTCCGATGCCCATTTTAAGATAGTGCAATACTCACTGGATGCACTAGAGATGGGGGATAAGATACTCTTGACAACTTCTATATCAGATCTTTCAGATGAAAGGGGGTATTAGCTTTATCTGGGAGCCTTGTTTTGGCAAAATACACGACCATTTTACTTTACTACGGAGTACTCCGTATATTCAAATTATATGATGAATCCAGGCGGATTATGTAGTTTCATTAGAATATCATTTGGCCTCTGTCCAAGGTAGTCGATCCGAGGCAACCTTGAGATATGACTGGTGCTCCCAGCTTTCACGGTTGGAATACTCCTCGTATATGGTCAAGGATAAGCTGACACGTCCTATTATTCCGAAGCCAAGGGTAAAGCCAGCGTCTTTAAAACCACAGTGCCCTAGTTTGACGCCGCAGAGATTTCGATACGAAAGCCGGCTACATAGTCACTTCACTGTTCACGGACACTACTAGTAGCCACTTTGATTGGACGACGGTACGACTTTCTCGGCCGGCCTGAGTGTCGATCTTGTTGAGGCTCGAAAAGACCAGGTCAGTTCGCCTCGTACTCGCCGCCATTTGTCCCTGAAGAGTTTTCCGTGTATTGCCTTCTGCAGGGAGAATTTATCACGCGCTACATTTCTTAGTTCGTATTTGGATGTAGGATAAGGATAAGGATAAGGCTGTGGGGATGATGCAATCGAGATTGGTTGGAGCGTCGGCTATTGGGGTGGAGTGTACGGAGTACATGCAGGGCTATAGTATACGGAGAGCACGGAATACCGAGTATTGATACAGAGTGTATGTAGAAGTTGGTGGGGTGTACACTGTGAAGAATATAATGTAATTATAGTAACGGGGGCCAAATAAGCGAGTGGTTAGAATGTGCAGGACGGTGCAGAGGGGTGCAGAGGGGTGCAGAGAGATGCGGAGGAGGTGCATGCTTCGACCTCGAAATGGGAAAGGGAAGCGGACACGGGGAATTCATTGGGGCTGCTGAGCGTTGGGGCCGGGCCAAGAAAACTTGAATATGGAATGGAAATGGAAATGGAAATGGGATTTCACGAGCTCGTGTTAGGCGTACTTGGATTGGGGGCCAAGGCAGACTGATACAGTATACAGCCCTGGAGTACATACTATACAGTATCTATACAGAGTATACCTAGTAGTAGTATGCTACTGGTACTAATTGTATACATAGTACTGGATACAGTAGAGTCAACAACAAATCTACTAGTAGTAGTAACCACAAGTACTCACTGGTTATATACTATACCTATAACTAGAATCACTCTGTTACTGTATAATCGTACTCAAATATACTAGTACTGTTCCTGTATCGCCCCATGACGCAGCGACCCACGCTGAGGCTCTTCGCCAATGGACAAACTTGAAGGCAGCCGATCCCTCGGGAGCTTGTCAATCCTCCCAAATTCGGCTTCGTTTCAGCCTGCGCCCCCTAAACCTGTGCCCTTCTCTTCTTATCCCACTTAATTCCTCTTCCCCTCTCCACCCTCCCCCCCCCCCCGCCCATTCTCTCTCGATATTTCTTACTATTCTTTTCCGTCTGGAGTATGCGGTCGTGATTCTTGATCCATGACCGCGGCATATTCTATGATGCGACCGCGACGCGGTCTATCGTTGCTGTGCATCACCGCGTGCCTTTTTTACAGCATCATTGTCGCCATCTGGTATGGTGTCAACTCCGACCGCGACTATATTCACCCTCTCCTCACTCAACTCATCCCCGCCGGCCATTGTGCCTGTCAAACCTCCACAACCTTCCAATGTTCAACTTGTCTCTCCTGCCCTGAACCCGCCTTACAACTACCCACCACCCCGACTTGGAACTTCGAATACCCTCGTGATGCCCGCAACGACGCCTTGGAACAGACACAATGCAAGCTCGCCTTCCCAGGACTATTCGAGGATGTTGCGCGCGCGAACCGACATTGGCGTGCTCAGGGGGGGACTCATCACCGAGGACCTCGACGCCATTCAACTCCGATCGGGCATGGCTCGCGCCTTCATCTCTCAGGGCAACCTCCATGTCATCGCCGCCCGATCCATGGGGGATGATCACCGAAAAAAGATTCTGGGAGTCTTGAGTTCAATTCACCGCGCGCTGGTCGCTGACCGGGATCGGGCCGACCGGCGTGACATTGAATTCGTCTTTTCCGTCGAGGATAAAGTGGAGGATGTGACCAACTCCGAACACCCTGTTTGGGTCTTTGCTCGCACTCCGACCGAGGAAGGTGTTTGGTTGATGCCCGATTTCAGTTTCTGGGCCTGGGATAACCCGACAAACTACATCGGCCCTTATGACCAGGTCGTCGATCGTATCCAGCGACTCGATATCCCCTGGAATGAGAAGAAACCCCAACTCGTCTGGCGTGGAAAGCCTAGCTTTTCTCCGAAATTGCGCCGGGCGTTGATCGAGGCCGCCCGGGATAAGCCATGGGGTGATGTGAAGCAGGTTCAATGGTCCACGGGGGCCAACGTACTCAAAATGGAGGACCACTGTCGTTATATGTTTATTGCCCACGTTGAAGGTGAGTTTCTTCCGCAGACAAGCACAGGCATAGGCCTAAAGTCGATGTCTATGGCAGAAGGAGGGGCGCTGACTGAATCTGTAGGACGTTCGTATTCCGCATCCCTGAAATACCGACAGGCCTGCAACTCCGTGATTGTTGCACATAAACTCCAATACATCCAGCACCACCATTACCTCCTGGTCTCCGAAGGCCCCCAACAAAATTATGTCGAGGTCGAGCGCGACTTCAGCGATTTGGCCGAGAAGATCGAGCCACTCGTGGAAAACACCGCCGCCGCCGCACGCATCGCCCGGAACAGCGTCAAAACATTCCGCGAGCGATACCTGACCCCGGCCGCTGAAGCGTGCTACTGGCGACAATTGTTCGATGGATATAGCAGTGTCTGGAATAGCACTGTCGACCCTTGGTCCACCCGCCACGGCCGAGAGCGTGGCTTACGATACGAGTCCTTTTTGCTCCTGGAAAGTCCGCAGCAGCTCGATTTCCGAGCCGCAACCTTTTCAGGCTATTTCTCATAATTGCTGAAGCGCACTGCTCTTTCGAATTGAAAATATAGACGCCACGACATAACTACAACCTTTGCATTAATGATAATCTACACATCACCCTCACCACGCCTTCACCCTCGCCTTCACCTACACTACCACCACCACCATCACACATTCCCAGCGACTATGGAATCGCGGGATTCGAAAAGGCCCGGAGACCGGATTTGCTCCCGGGCACGGCGTTCAAGCGCGCACTTTGTGATACCACAGCGACTTTTTTTTTTACATATTGCACAGAGATACCTACAAATACAGTGACGAGGTCCATTGCTCATCTGATGATCTTTCATAATAGTTCTCGTAGAGATTATGGATCGCTATAGTAGACTAAGCAAGCTAGGTATAGTTCGCACATTGTCTTCTTACTGGACTGTCTGCTTCGCCATGCCTGAGTGGATCAGGGCCACCTGTGCCCCCTGCCTTATAACGAAGTATAGTGCCAAAGTGATTACTGCAGCTTACGGATCTTCTAAGGAATATATGATCCCCAATATTCCAAGGTGGAGATATGGTACCTGCATTAGCCAACTTAAATACTATAGTAGTAGTATATCACAAATCCCACGCCATGTCATCTTCCAAGCACAGCTCAATAAGTGCAAAGTATAATACTGTAGTTGAACTCTCCCAGCGTAACCTCGACAGAATCTAGTCATCACACGATAAACGGAACCACGGGATTCTGTCTTACAGGTACCACGTCCCGAGGTCTCCCACTACCTCGAAAATACTTCAATATGAGCAGTTTATGAGCCGTGATGATGCGATTGAGGCTGGTACCTGTAGTATTCTTTATTTTACCTGGAGTACTAGTAGTATCTTATCGGTTACCCTTGGTCTTAAGACTTGGGGTAGTGCCTTCAAACTTCAAAGTATATCCTTCAGCTCTTTCCCTCCCTCCCTCCCTCCCTCACTCACTGACTCACTCACAACCACAATATATCCCAAAATTCTCTTTTTCTCTTTCTCTCCTCTCCAGATTTGTCAATTTTTATCGCCCAAGATGGAAACGGAGCTCAAGGAACCAAATCAAATCACCCAACAAGGAATACTCTCCAGGTCCGACCAGGATATCCCTAGTCACACGTACCCCATCCAACAGGTCCAAATCGAATCTCCGGACGTCCGAGAAGATGTACAGGATGTAGACTGAATTGAAGAAGATATGTAGTCTCGTGTGCCAAAAACACTCGTGAGCTGGGCTCTGGACCTACTTTCATTCCGAATCGACCTCTTGAGCTAACCATCTGATATAGTGGGCATTGATCGTCCTGACAATCCTTTCCTCCGTCTTCCTCTTCTCACTAGACAACACTATAGTCGCAGACGTGCAGTCTCCAATTGTTGAACGGCTTGGGGAGGTGGGCAAGCTGAGTTGGCTCGGAGTTGCTTTCGGTTTCTCGGGCTCGGCCACCATCATCGCATGGCAAGTTCGACCTTTTCGTCTAGCTAATACACTCACAGAAGTTAAACTGACTGATAAAAATCATTAATATCCACAGGGGCAAACTATTCGGCATTTTCAGCGCCAAATTCCTCTACTTGTCCTCCGTTGTGATGTTCGAGGTCGGGAGTGCAGTCTGCGGTGCAGCTCAAACGATGAATGCAATGATCGTGGGTCGTGCTGTCGCTGGCCTCGGGGTTTGTGCCAATCAATATCCAACATTCGTCATGTCTCTTTTGATATTAATATGTCCATCTATAGGGCGCTGGGATGTATTTGGGTTGCTTGACATTGCTCTCGATCACTTCATCAGTTCGCCAAAGACCGCAGTATATGGCTCTCACGGGAATTAGTAAATGCCAATTGAACACGACCAAAGAGGCAGCACAAGCTGATAAACTGAACAGCATGGGGTCTTGGGACTATTTTTGGGACCTGTGTGGGTATTTTGCATCGTCTTTCTGCAGGCGTTGTGTCTAACCTAGTTGATGGCAGGGTCGGTGGCGCATTTGCCGAAAATCGACATACAACCTGGCGTTGGTCGTTCTACATCAACCTCTGCATCGGAGCGGCCTTTTCCCCAATCTACATTTTCTGCCTGCCCCGTGGTGACCCCCCAGACAGCCACGAGTTTCCGACAAAAGCTCCTACAGATCGATTACCTGGGAATGACCTTGAATGTCGGAGCTTTCACAGCACTGATCATGGCCACCAACTTCGGAGGTAATATCTTTTCGTGGGAATCCGGTCGGGAGATAGCGCTATGGGTGGTAGGAGGCGTGGTACTACTTCTCTTCGTCTTGCAGCAAGCGTTCAGCGTCGGTACCACGGAGACCGAAAGAGTGTTCCCAGCAGACTTTCTGCGGATGCCTTTGATGTGGCCTCTGTTTTGTCTCATGTGCTGTGCTGCTACATGCGTGTTCGTAAGTGACCTCTTTACCCTATTTGATTTCGCTGACAACGCTCTCAGGTGCCGACATACTACATACCGCTACACTTCCAGTTCGTCCGAGGAGATTCGCCTTTAAAGGCAGCGGTCGGGCTGCTCCCATTCGTATTCCCTATGGTATTTTGTGGCTTGGCTAATGGTGCTGCTATGAAAAAGCTGGGATACTATATGCCGTGGTATTTAGTGGGAGGGGTTCTGACTGCCCTTGGAGGTGGCTTAATGAGTATGTTTACTCAGGCTCTATATAAAAGTGGGATAGCTAATAGATGTTTCAATCACAGCGACTGTCAACGAGAACACTTCGACATCACATATCTATGGATACTCCGCATTGATCGGCATTGGTGCTGGGATGTACATCCAGACGGGGTTCTCAGTAGCCCAGGCCAAAGTAGCCTCATCGCGTGCATCCGACGCAGCCTCCTTTATTGCTCTGGCACAAAGTATCGGGATTACCCTTGCTTTGGCCATTTCTGGTGCCGTCTTCCAGAACCAGGCTCTCAACGAATTGCAAACCTTGATACCCCAGTATCCTCGAGAGACACTTCGCGGAGCAATCCTCGGTCCAAGCAGTGGCCTGCTGAAACAACTACCGGACGCAGTTCGCACAGAAGCACTTCATTCAATCGTCAAATCAATGTCTCACACCTACTATCTTGTTGTGGTTGCGGGTTGCATGGCCGCTGTTGGATCTCTTTTCATGAAGGTATGTTTCTCTTTCATCCGTCAATCGAGACTGACACCAAGACTACAACAGAGAGAGCGCATCTTTATCAAGGCCGCCACTATGGGCTAGCTAGAAGAGGACTAGCCTTGCAAAATAGATAATTCCACAACGTTCTGATAGCTTAAGATGTTTAATTGAGGAGCGAGATCTATTGATATCAATGTTTGCAGAGGAGCAAAGACATACACGTAAACCACACTCTTGGTACAATGTATTGTTATCCGAAAGGGAGCCCAATAACAGTGCTCTATGCTTTACCATATATCGTATTCGCAGCTAGCTAAACTCCCCCAAGAAGATAGGACGATAGCGTAAAGCCATACCAAACGGTTGCGACCAGCGAAATCGCATTAAGATGGATGGACATGGCATGGTTGAACTTGAATGCTTTATCCGCCCGTTGAACCTTACCCTCATCAACCTCATCACCCTGATCACTTTGCTGCTTCTCCTTAGCATCTGCAAACCCATTAGCCCAAGAACCCATCATAACCACACCTCCGACCCCAGTTCTCACCATGAACAGCCTTCCTGACAAACGACGCCGTCGTCGTCCTCGGCCCATAAACCACCCAATTCAACCCCCCAGTTCCTAAAACAACCAGCAAAGGCCCCGCGCTCCATAGATCGTTCACCAACGAGAAAATACTATACGGCGGATACGTCGCAGCAGTGAGAACCACCAATCCAACCTGCGAAGCAAAGTAAACGGGGAACACGCGTTTCTGCAAGGCGAGAAATTCCCGCATGGGCAGGCATTGGAAGCATAGCTTTGTGTTGACGAAGGTCTAGAGGGTTGGCGGATGGAGATGAGCGGGTTAGCCGGGTTTCCCCTATTGCTTTCCAAGGGAGGGTTGGTTCATGAGTGAGTACCTGGTAGATCTGTGTGCCTAGTAGAGTGCCATATGCGAAGAGGTGGTAGGGGAGGAGATGGCCTATCGTCTGCAGTAGGCGTGCCATGGTGGGCAGAGGCGGGAGATAATAGAGAGTCGATGTATCTTAATTGGAGCGGGAGCGGGAGCGGGAGCGGGAGCGAAAGAGGTTGATTGGGTGCAGAGAAGAGGTGGTGTAGGTCCAAATGGGAGAAATGGAAGAAATGAGAGAACTGTATGGGATACAGAGAGGAGATCGAATTGACGAAACGGAAAAAAGTCAGGTAGTACGGACGAGGAAGAACCCTGGAACCAATCGAGGTGGACGAAAATGGCTGCCTGGCACTTGGCTGACGAGGAGGCCAGTTGTACATTTAACGGGTATTTCCAATCGGAATTCTAATAAGCATACTCCGTACTAGTGCCCGTATTAGTTGTGCTTACCGGTATCTTTGTTTTGTTGGAAATGCAGTCTGTGTTGGCTGTGATTGGGTGAAAGGCTGAACGGGTGAATCGGATGAGATCTGCCCTAATTCGTCAAACTATAGGGTGATAATATCATTTGATTCCAACGAACTTTCCGTTGATTTGTCTTCAAAATTATAATATGAATATGAATAACTCTAGGGGAATATTTCATGAGAGTCGGGATCCATACCTGACGCTTCCCAACAAGTATTTCATTTACTACAATATCAGGTTGGCCCGGAGTATGAACGATTTTCAAAGTTGATGGTAAGTCGATACATATTAGTATTTGCCATTAAGTCTTTAGGTGAAAATTTGAAGGTTCCAGCCTGCTAAGATTCCAAGACTTGATATGAGTCATCAATGATCAAATTAGGGAATTGGTAGAAGGAATTAAATGAAGATGAGGTCTATCATCATCGCCAGCAATAATTGGTCCACGGGCGAGTTCCGAAGTGGTTCGGCCGAGTCTATGGAGTACATTGAGCTTATTACTCTCCAGTGACTGCGGCAAGTTAATTAAACCAGGCTCCCTGAAGATTGGAACCCTTTGATTGTAACTGCCGGAGTAGTTTCTAGCGTGTCTCCATGGGGCTCGATTCGCAAAACTGGTCGTCCCTAAGTTTAGACCGTAGAAAGGACATCTCACAAGGGGGCAATTTATTTTAGAAAGGTTTACTCCGGTGAAATGTATAGTATTATGATCTGCGTTTGGCAAATCATCGCCACCTTTCAAGGTTGGTAAAAATGAGGAAGGAAGTTTCTGAAAATGGGTACTACACTGTGCAACTTGTCCATGTTTTGTGGCTGATAAATGGAGGCCACCTTTGCTGCCAAGGGACAATTGAGATTTGGAATCAACGAAAAGAGGGATAAGTACATTTACTAGAGGGTTGGAGGATGGAGAATGGGTGGGCGAGGTTACACATTTCAGGTGATCCTGGGGCTCGTGCTTTAGAATTATGCGCGATGGCGAGACCAAGGGTAATTTAAAGTGAGACTTTTGATAATTGTGCCAGAACTAGTTTTTCGTATACGAGATCAAAGTCTCTAAGAAGCCAATAAGCTGATATTATCGAGGAAATGTCAAGATGACAGCAGAATCTGCAACTATGCCATGCAAGTGTTGGTTACAACACGCCAACTCACAGCTCTAATGCCACTGGAAGCATCAATTGATATACAAACACCATGCAGCCAGCGACTCAAACAGAAAAATGGAACTTGCAGCTGTCGTAACCCCAGAATACCCCCCACCATTAGCCGGAGGCATTGTCGCACAAAGCATTTGTCTCTCCCTTCTAGTCCACAGTTGAGTGAAACCGGATGCTCCGCCATCCTCTGTCACATTGGGATCTCACATGCATTAATTCGGGACAAATGATGACGCTCTGAGAGCCATCCACATGGCATCAACAAGGTTCTGCTAGCATATAGCGGTCTGGGCTTCCCTGATCCTGATTTACATGCACCAAGGAGACGCCAGAACAAGGGCAAGATAGACCCGCGCTACAAGTAGACCCGAGGCGGGCTGACCTTGAGTAGTTGTAAAACCTTGGACAATGGCCATTTATCTCACGCCAGGGTGGCATCCATGGGGGTCTTCGCTCTTGGCCACAACTTTGCTTGGGCCCGATTGATATTCAAGTCTTCTAAATTTGTGCTATGGTAATATCAATCGTGGCTTAGGTTCTAACTCATTCAGGAAGGTGTATATGTAATCCTAGCTGGATCGATGGATATATTGATTAGAATGCAGAATACAGCTGCTGTGGCGGCAGTCATATCAAGGTTCCCGCCTTGAAGGGGAGTGGATTTGGGGCTTACTGGAACCATCAAACCAGACCCAAGCCCCTTCTTTCAGTTTAAATTATTCAAATTAGACAAAACCTTACGGTTAGCTTGCCACAAATCTCAACATGAACTTTCGGGCATCTCCGGCGGTGCGCAACGTAGCATGACGATGCTGGCCCGGCTTATTGTGAACACCATTGCTATAGGGATTTGGCCGGGAACAGCGCTTAGTTCTCCAAGTAGCACCATTATAACAGTGCCAAGGGTGTCTAGAAATATCATGAAGGATATGGGCTTCCCAAGCCATCCTCACGATTCCAACCTGATGTGCTACGCCACATCCCAGACCGCTGGTAGCCGAGCCTATTCAGGGCACACATCGTATCCAGTGACTGGATAATCCCAGGACTAGCCCCAAGATGTGGATGCACTGGTGAAACGAACTTGGCGTCATAACACATCAAAGGAGAGTGTATGACGAGCGAGACAGGAACCCTCTTCACCCAGCGTGAGCCAGCTGAGATGCGCAAAGTGGTTTGGACCCGAAGTATCACGCGGCTGAAAGCCTTGATCTCAAGTCCTTGCCAATTGTTTTGCTAGAAGACTACTGGCTCGCTTCGTGCCGTCGTACAGATGCGTGTCACGGTGAGATTGACTCGAGTCGGCGATCTTTCTTCGTCAGTGTTTCCCTCGTGGGTTTGCATGGAAGCCCGGCCCTTATAAAGACTAGTATTATGACCCTGGGTGGCCAGTGCCGATCTCCCGCTGCATGTTTCTAACACCTGAACATACCAAGTCGAAAATTCCATCTCATCCCCCAAAGACCAAAGAGTTGTAACTTCGCGACTCATGCAGAACAAGTCCGAAATGAGAGCTGAACAAGCACCCAAGTCGCCGAGTAGTGATGAGACACCTAGCCAAAAACAGGATCCGTTAGAAAGACGACGGCTGCAAAATAGACTATCTCAAAGGAACCATCGTTAGTTATAATTCCAGTCCGAATGACACTGCGTACAGCGAAGCTGATGTGAACAAGGCCGGAAGATCAGAGATCGAATCGCCAAACTCCAAGAGCGTGTGATAGCAAACGAGCTTCGAGCAGCGGCAGCTTTGAACGGCTGGGACCAATCATACTCCCCTTCTCCGCTCCTATCACCCCGTCACGCACCCTGCCCTTCAAATGACCTCCAAGTCAACACGCGCGACACATCACCCATCACCACGGAACCGCCAACGCCTTTTACTCCTTCATACAACATCACGCAGACGCCTATATGGCCAACTGATTTTAATTTTGCACAATCCAACGGGTCGATAACTGGAGAAACACCCTTGATGGTCGATGGTAGAAGCTTTATGAACGAGACCATGTGCTACGCGTCTTCGGAAAGCAGTATATCTACTACCGGCATCCAAGTACCAATGGGAAGCTGTCATGAAGTAAATTTGATGCAAGATGCATTTTCAAGTCCAAGTCCAATACATACCAATCCAAGCAATGGAGTCTCAGCGAGCCAGTCACTCTATTATGTTGCAACAGGTGAGATGACGACCTCGAAAATGGTATAAACTCTTCAGGTCAATGTGATGCTGACATACCGTCTTTATTAAAGAGAACTCCCTTCCACAGATTCTACAAGCTATGAGCAATGTATCTCCACAAACAAAAATCATTGTGCTCGTGCCACCAGAGCCTACATCAACATATCCATCTCCACCTCCCTCGGGGCTTTTGGGAAGCAATTTATTCGAGGGTATTCAAGTTTCGTCTCCGCAGACAGGAATTCAGAATCTGACATGCCAGTGCCAAGCCCAGCCAGCTCATTTAGCCCCCAATAATGTGCAAGCTCTCTCTCGATGGACTGTCCCCGCATCCTTTTCCCCGGGCTGCTCCTCACATAAAATCTCAACACCATCTAGGGGAAGCTTTTCAGGAATCAGGTGATAGATATTCACGAGAGGATAGCTTTTCTTCTAAGAAGCGATTCTATGCCGAAAGAATCCGGGAGTACGTGTTCGGATAATTATAGAGACCGAAAGGACGATACGACCTAGAGACATACTGGGAGAGGGCTTATTGGACGACTACTGAGGCAACTGAATGATTGACAGAAAAATTTGGAACAGCTTCAAGACCTTTTAATTCTGTACATACTCCGCTTAGTTCAAAGGCGTGTCACCGCAGACGCTAGTGAAAGACTATAAACCGGCTGGTTGGAAACCTGTTATCAGTTCCTCCCAGAACATATCATCAATTCCTAGAAGAAAACTAGGATCTGGACCCATAGCAAGAGCAGGGTCATGTTGTGCAAATATCCGGGGGAAGTATTGATTGAACCAAGTCTGAACTCTCCTCGTCTTCATTGTGACCCGGTCAACCATCTCGTCTGAGCCACCGTCTCCTAGCCAATGAACACGTGCGAACGCATTGCCTTGATCTGTCTTCTGTGCAACCAATTCGAGTATTTGAGAAAAGTCAAGTTCTGTTCGAACCAGGTCTACATCCCAACCTTCAACTTTGGATAGACAGAGACGGGAAGCAATGAGCAGAGCATACGCCAAAAGACCCCAGAGGGCGTATGACGCGGTAAAGATCATATGATCAGGCATGGAGATGTATACTTCGAATAATGACTTTGTCGCGGCAAGGCATTTCCACATTGTGTCTAAACGCTGCTGTCGGGCACCCGTACTAGTGTTTGCATTCTGCCATAGAGGGTCGTAAAGTCCGGCCTCGTAGAGAAAGATCCGTGCTGCATGAACATGGATAAGCCAGTTGCCTAGATAGGTATCAGTAGCTGCATAGGCATTAATCCAAATTAAGCAACAGTCTTACAATTTGTGTTGAATTTAGTCGCTGATTGTGCGAGATCTGTCAGTTGCTGTTCTAGATAGCGAATATGCATTGTGGTCGGAGCCCATGAGCTGTGGGGTCCTTGTGGATCATCGAACGGTGCTACCTGGGCAATTTGTTCGACTAGGCTCTGCAAACGAACATGCTGAACTAGCAACTCATCCGCTGGATGTTCTCCAGTTTCGACCAGGATTTGTAATGCCTGGTTTAAATGTCGGCTGTATGGTATTGCATCGACACGTCGAAATACAGCAGATGCCCTAAGACAGGAAGAATCAATTAGCAATCACTCAGTAAGTGGTGTCGGCCTCGAAAAAAACGAACACAGAGGTGACATAGAAGCAACCTAATAGAGTCCTCCGATCTTCATTATCCATGCGATTGGTTTCTTCCGCAAATCCGTAGCTTGATCTTGATGCGTCGAATATTACTGTGCGACGATCATTTAGATGTGCTGGCTTATCAAACCCGAGATCGGCAAGAACCGCAAGAGCAAGATGCAAAAGATTTGTCATTTGAGGGTTTCTCTTAAGATGCCCATGATACCTATAAGACGGATCAGCTTCAATTTTGTGATTAATGGCGGTTTTATGTCAATGTTCCCTACCAGGCAATGGTAATCAGCAAGGCCTGCAGGATATCACGGGTTTTCTCTCCATCAATCAATAATCGTTTAGCAAGCTCTTCGGTCAGAGCCGCACCTCGTCGAATCTGGAGAGCTCTATTTTGATAGGAAGCTGCCACGACCATAGCCTTGAAGAGACAAGGGTGACTCTGTCGAAGCACAGATACCGGTTTGTTGGGCGGCGTAACAAATGGGAAGAAAATGCTCAATTCGCTTCGAAAAACAAAGCAAAGTGCTTCCGCTGCCTGGCTCTCTGGCCATACAGTGTGGCCTGGCAAGACAGATTCAACTGGAAGAGACACGGGCGGATTTGAGTTATCTGCTTTCAGATAATTGACTGGGTGAGCGTGATTATCTTTGACTGTCAATGTGGATCCGGGAATGTCATGCGGTGGAGTTGGGGTGGGCAACAGATTTTCATTCTGTCGCTGAGAATGAATGTTATTAATCAAAGAGTCAATCTGCTTTTCTAGCTTATCAAAGCGCCTAGTAATGATATTAGGAATCAAAATCCGTATCCCTGAATTTTGACGGAGCTAACGAACGTTCGAGGTAGAGGACTTCTGCGCCTGCGAGGCTCCTGCGGGAGACATTGTTTACTCAATCGAGTACATCTGATTGAAAAATGTCAGCAGCGCTTCTAATACATAAACTATTGGGACTAGAATCAGACGCAAAACATGCCTTTGACATTTGGGCGAGTCGGTGGGATCATAGATGCAGCGGACCTTGGATTGCCGACAGGCTAGGCAAGCATGGGCGGAAGAGCCGCGGCCGCTTGGCTGAGGTTGGCTCATAATGCCGTATTCAATATATTATGCACTCCACCTGTCGGAGAGATGGCTTGTTGAAGAGGCTTGAGTGTGTGCAAATGGAGGTTTCGGATATCTCGGACACGGAAGCGGGGCCTTGCTCCGGCCATGCAGAAGTGTCATTGGCCCACCTCTTTCGCCATAATTTTGTTGTTCAACAGGCATTCTAGTGAAAGATAAGAGTAGTATGCAAGGTGAATAAACGTGATATGTCTGAATGCAATTTCCTGATAGATGGACTGCTCAAGCACTTGAGAGTAACACCCATTACTTACTCATGTTTCATGATTTCTACTAGTAATCATGCGCCATCCGGCAAGCGGCCGACCCAGTGACGTTTAGTGCTTCATAAAAAAATGAACAAAGGTCTCAAAGCCTACTATCTACGTTACCAACATACACTAGGGATCCCTGAACTTGACATTGTTTCCTCGAGGATTTTCAACGGCTTAGAAATAACCTTGATTTTCTGAAAGAAGGTGTTGACAAATGGCAATAGACGCTGATCATACAAACCTGATTTAAAATCCACATGCTATTCGCTTGACGTATGTTTCAGTTATTTCGTTTCACAATCTGACCACTTTCACACAAATAATTGAAAGCTGAAAACCAACAGTTTAATCAACAGCAGGCCAAGTAGACAGGCCCAGCTCACAATCGAAGAACATAAAACACATAGGCTGCCCTCATGGTCTAATCAAAATGAATGCGCCATAGCTCACGGTCACAGTCAGTTTTATAACCAGTTCGGGTATGGAGCATGGCGGTGTTATCGCTGATCAATAGATCACCCTTCTCCCACTCCAAGTAGAGGCACACTCGGGGATCATATAAGACTCGATCAATGATATTTACCAAGCTTGGATGGTCATTCTCGATTGTCACATCGCATGTCGAAAATTTGGTCTTGGTCGAATCCCACGGCTGGTGCCAGCGCAGACAAGGTAGACCGGAAACCGGGTGCGTTACCGTCAACGGTAGATTTTTTAATTTCGCATCCCAGAAACCATCATTATCCATGGCCCAAGTAATTCCCTGGAGACGTTCCGAGGTCCATGGAAGCGGTAGGTACCTGAAGAAAAGTCGCGAACTTGCGAAGAGCGTGTACCCACTTCCTTTTGGTGCAGTGGCGGGACAGGTGAAAAACTGATAGCCAGGTGGTCTCTGGACTTTCTTTTTCTCTCCAGTAACTGGGTCATCAATTTCTTCGAATTTAAACATGCCATCAAAGTGCATGGGCATGGCCTCATTTGAAGTAACATTGTTACCCAACTTGTCTGCGCGACCGGCATCACGCACCTTCTGGATGACACCAAAGCTCCATGGGAGTATGGTTCCGAGCTCTGAAGCCGCCTTCAAATATAGGTCTTCCTCAAGAGTCTCTGCAAACCCGCGGAGAACTACCGGTGACATGATGTTGGATAGTTTACGGACTTTGCTCATGGGAAGGGCGCTGATAGACGGAGTTGGATTAACGTTGTCAATATCGGCCGGTCGTATGATCAGTCCACTCGGGTATAAATGCTCAAATTTGACGGCAACGCCATCTTCGGCCCAGTTGAATATGTCAGACTTCTCTCGGAAGTAATAGGGCTGACCATTTTTATAAACAAGGTCGTGTGTGTCGCGGACATCCTCGGCATGCACGGTTCGATATGATCCGTCCAGTCCAATTGCTACCGATGCATGCCAAGGTGTATATCCAAGGGATCCACGGAGCTGCGGAATCAAAGATACAGATAGCTTGCGCTCTCCTGCAGATTCGTGAATGGACAATCGAACATAGTCCTTCCGGTTTGCTTTGATAGCCGCGGCGAACATCTTACCGCGAACGATCATCTGGCGCGCAATCTGGGAAACCTGGGCCTGTCGAGCACGCTTCGAAAGATTGATTGTAGAGTCCTGATGCGCCAGATCTTTTGTCAAAAATTTGATGTACCCGCGATATGTCAGACATGTATCGTTGTCAGTTTTGATGGCCTCATCGGGGTCAAATGATGGATCGCCAAAGACGAACATTAGTTCGCGACGGAGGCAGCTTGCATGGGCCAAATAATACGCTTTTGCAGCTTCAGGGGTCTCTGATTTAAACCAAGGATGCTCGAGAAGCTCGAAGAGGCGAATAAATTTCACATGATGGAGGCCCTTCTCTACGGCCATTTGCCGCAGGGTCTCTCCGTAGTCCCAGACGGTTTCGTCGGGCACACCAAGAATATCTAAAGTCGTATGGTCAGAGACGGAATGATTTTGAGCATGGATTTTGAGTCCTACCGTTATAGACAAGACCGTCAGAACTGATGTATACATCAGCACCAGGCTCGTAAACTTTGCCGATGCTGTCGCAAAGACCGTTGAGATGTGACAGCGCCAATTCTTCACCAAAGTCAGGCATTGTCCCCAGAACCTTGTCTCGCGCATTTGGAGACTTGAAAGGAAAGGCGGGCAAAATCATGCGGATCGGTTCCTGTTTCTTAACCTGCTCCATAACAACGGGGACGAATGACTCCAGCCCCTTCCACGAACCGCCAGTCTTTTCGTAGTCGACCCCATAACTTTCAATAATCTTTAAAATGTCAACGGCCATTTTGCGATCGGTAGAATGAATGGTAGAATCAGAAAAACATGGATTCTCCATGTGGAGGCCATTTTCATCGTGTTTCGTAGAGGCTCTGCCGTTTGCGGTAACTAAGGGATCGGCGATACCTAGGGCAGCCATCGTGGCATTGGAGTTGTCAGTCGCCAAAAATTGCCCCAACTTCGCATCGTTTATGCTAATAGAAGACTGCTCGTTTTTCTCAGTCTGATCGGGGTGACCGGCTCCATTTTGGGAGGGTTTCTGTGAATATAGGTCTGGAACATTTTCCGTATTGGGCGCGACGGCGATCATGGTGACCGGAGTTGAATGTGGTGGGTCACACTGATGTCTTGTTTCCTTTCAATAACAACTAATGGAGTTGTTTGGAAAGGAGAGCCTTCTTTATTCTCCTTGAAATAGCTAGTACTCAGAAAATAGTATTCCGAAACTACTCGATTCCCGACAGAACTTCATCCCGCTATATAGTTCCCGGCACCCTTCCTCCGTCCCAACTTGAACTATAGGAACTTTCCAGCCTCATACCCATTCCAACCCCATCCAGCCGGATGACTGTGTCTAGATAGTATTGCGGACTCAGATACCTAGGATGAAGCTGAACTTACCAGATCGGAAAGAACCAATCCATGGATTCTGTACAACTCGGAGCCGGTGGATCTCCGTCTATTCTCCCCCTAGAGGCTGCGGTGGAGGTCTAGAGCGGATAAACCGCTGATGGTGAAACTAACAGCCGTTGAGAACAACCCTGTTGGAGAACAAAGTCAATTGAGTCGCTGATGAGTGCATCAGGGGGATATGTGAGGCGCAGATGTGCTATCTAGAGGTTGTCAGCATGGTCCAAAATAAGACCTGTGGCAATTGCGAGGAAAAGGATATTCCTAGACTGGTCCCGCAGGCAACCCTTTCACCTTCCAAGTGCAGATGACTAGATTTGCAGGCGCGTACAACCGTTTGGATTCGGGTCAAAAGACTGAGCTAGAGCTTGGGCTCCGGCTCGGCTCGATGACCTAGCTCATTTCGTACTGAGAAAGCTAAGCAGAGATCCCACCCAACCTATCGGTCCCGATACGAGTGTAACTCCGGGTCAGGTGAGGCATGAGAGCTCTCGTAATTCATTCTACTTATTATCCCCGGAGGATTATATTTGAATATCATAATAGTATAATTTGAATACAAAGGTTTCCCAGACACCAATTAGTACCGCGAGCCCTCGTGTCAACGTTTAGAGTAATTATAGAAAATTCTAATGCAAGATTGAAATTCAAAAAAAACTAAGATCTAACACAATGCAGCAATGTAATCGGAATCAAATAGATATCCGAAAAGAATACCCAGATATCACTTTCCTGGCTCAGCCCAATCATACTCCATCACCCGCGACACAAAGGCGGCCATTTCCGGGCTTGACAGCTGACGCACGACATGAAATGTAGCGTCGAGGCCAGAACTAATTCCTCCAGCTGTGACGAGCTGTACCGAGTCTCCTTTCAAGTAACCCCCATCCATATAGCGCTTGTGCACTACATTTGTGGGGCCCTCGTTTTTGTCACTAAAACGAGCACATACTTCCCGCAGGACTTCCACCGCACGGTGATGAGTTGTGACCGTCATTCCAGACAAAATACCTGCCGCGCCGAGTAGCAATGCACCTGTGCAAATAGAAAATAGAATACGTGGCTTTCGGGGCTCCGTCAAGGGCAGCGCCGCGAACTTGCGAATTATATTGACCTCCGGGGCATTTCCCTCGACCAGTGGCTGGACAACAGCGGGTGGCCCTCCAGGAACTACGAGCATGTCATACTCTGCAAGCTCTTCCACGGCCTCTTCCAAGAGCCTATCGGCTTTAACGGTCATAACACTCGCGGCGTCGATGATGGAGGTTTGCGCGATCGTCTCGATGATGAACATTCGATCCGGCTTATCGGGGTTGCGGTTATGCGAAACATGGGACAGAACCTCCATCGGACCAGTGAAGTCGAGGATATCTACCCCTTGAAAAAGGAGGACACCTACTCTGTAGTACTGCTTGGTTTCGATGGCCGCCATATTCCCGCTGACCAAAGAATTTGCGGGTCTTATTTTGGTTCGATGGAAATACGACGCTGGCAGACGTGGCCACGGGGGAGAAAAATGCAAAAGAAAATGCAATTATTCGAGGAACTGCAGATGGACAGTATGAAGGCACTTTCTTCAATAATTTCGTTGAGTGGAAAGGTTGGTTTGGGGATAGATGAGATTAGTCTCCCACGGTTGGTATTAGACACGTTGCTGACTCCAACAAGTAATGGGCCGACGTCGTGTCACCGGAACATCCTCATGTGCTTATCAAGTCTTATGGAACGCGAAAACTTTACGTTGCCATCAATTATCCCCATGTGGATTTCTGTTCTAGCGGTGAGGTATAAGCTCGTGCTGCAAGGGTTTTATGCGGTTTCCTGCAGGGAATGCCAACCAAAAGTGTTCAAGTTCCACAATCCCTTCGCGGATGCCAGCAGCCTCGTAATTTTGAATGTCAATGCTCTCTTGAAGATGCTAATACTGCTTCATGCTGGTTCAACCAATCTAGCAGCCAATCTCTACCGATTCATGCCTTTCTGGCACATATTGCCCATCTTCGGGATGTGGACTGCGGGGAAATCCACAATTTCGGATGGTGGGGGCTGCAACAATAAACACAACTGCATAGTAACTTCTCCCTTGGAAAATAATTTGATTTCCTAAATTCACTGCGCTTCCTCATAGAAAATGTCTTCTCCAGAGTATAGTGACCATTTTTCGATCGCCAACATCCCGTTTGGTGTGGCATCTTCTGAGAGCCATCCGAATCCACAATGCGTGACTCGATTGGGCAACGAGGTCATTTTTCTTGTCGACATACAGCGATCAGGAGTCTTTTCCAACATCACGGGCCTATCGGAAGGAATATTTGATAGCACGACCCTGAACGAGTACGCGGCCCTTCCCAAACCTATTCATCAGCAGGTGAGAAGCGTGCTACAAGAGACATTGAAAAAGGCCTTACCGGCGGGTTTCGCCGAGGATATTGGCGCTGTCACTTTACATCTGCCCATGGCAGTGGGCGGGTTCACAGGTATGTACCTCACATTCATAGCTATACAACGATGCCGGGCATACGTCAACAGTCAATCTGACAGATGATAGATTTCTCATGCAGTGTACACCACGTTCGCAATGCAGGCCGAATCATTATCAATGATGAATCGGTCCCTCCAGGATTTTTCAGTTTCCCAATCGGATATAACGGCCGTGCTAGCACTGTCTGTGTCTCGGGGACGCCAGTAGTTCGGCCGAAGGGTCACTTCTTTGATCGCTCGGTTCCATCGGAGAAGAAGCCTATCATTTACGGTCCCTCGCAGGCCATGGACTATGAGCTGGAAGTGGGTGTGATTATCGGAAATGGTGTGCCCAGGTTACAGGGTTTGAATGCGCTTGACGCAAACGACCATATTTTCGGGATGGTTCTTTTGAACGACTGGAGTGGTGAGTGCTCATTTCGCCACCCGATCCGCAGGTAAATGGTTTCCTAACTAGAAGTTGTTCCAGCTCGTGACATTCAAGGTTGCGAAATGATGCCCTTGGGACCTTTGAATGGCAAGTCCTTCGGAACTAGCATCTCTCCCTGGGTGATCACCTTGGATGCTTTGGAGCCCTTTGTCACCGCTGGTGCGAAGCCTGAGGTCGCATTAGCAAGTCATCTTGAGGATGATATCAATAAGTCAAGCTATGAAATAAACTTCAAGGTCGAGATTATTTCTGGGCAGCATGTGACAACCGTGAGTGAATCAAAATACACGGACTTGCACTGGAATGGGCCACAGATGGCAGCCCATTTAGCTAGCACTGGGGCAGACCTTCGCACCGGTGATATTTTGGGCACAGGTACAGTGAGTGGTCCTAACGAGGGCAGCTTTGGCTGCTTGCTGGAGACCACAAAGGCTGGGAAGGAGCCCATAGCCTTGACTGATGGTTCGGAGAGAAAGCTCTTGCTGGATGGTGATATCGTCCGAATGACAGGCGTGGTCGGTGGTGTGAACTCCGGTGTTGGATTTGGCGAGTGTGTCGGTCAGCTCGTGGCGTCAGTCAATGTGTGAAACAAATAGAAATGAAGAATTCTTGCGCTTCAAGAAGTACTCGCACATGAGATAGAGCCGGTTAGAGCTGGCACCGACACTTGGCAAGTTTATGGGACATATACCTTTGGCGTAGGTGTCAAATTATTAAACAGGACCGTAATAGACATCAGGAGAGCGGTGTATGATGACCTATGAACAAAAACGAGCTGAACAACTAAGTAATCCAAATAGTGCCGGAACACCATGGCCTTGATTTCGTGAAGAAAAGCAGTACCCAACGCCAGTGAAATGCCTCTGGCCCGCGCTGAAGAAGATTTATAACTGAATATAGGAGAACGGAAGGAGTCGTGACAGCACCACTAACTCCATAGTGGGGGGGTGAATATACTCCGATGCGCGATCCAGTATATTTGGCATAGTCCATTCGCCACTGCCCGAGCTCTCTGGGGTAGGAGGCGGAAGTGAGCCAACAGTGGGTGTCATGCCCGAAGGGACAAAAGAGCCCATTGATGCACCAGCCTGGCTAGACTGGGCGAGGTTCGCAGGACTGCGACCATTTGCAGAGCGAGTTTGTTGATTTCCAAATGCGCCCAAGAGCTTTTGCAGGGCGCGGTGGGTTTTGGCAAGAGACTTGGCCCACTGCGTCTGATTATCACCGATGGCCGCGGGCGATGTGGGATCCACCGGAGGTGGAACGACCCCCGGTGGGTTTGTGGCCCCGGTAATTGGGTCATATGTGTTCATGGCTTGAGCCGGAGAAGCCATATTTCCTGTGGGAGCGTTGGCGTCGCCAGTATCATAGGCCCGCTCGTTACTCGCGCGTTGTGCAATGATTCCCTCGAGTTGCCGAAGCAAATTCCAAACATTTTGGTCTGATTTTGCCTCCTCGATGACAGCAAGCAGGAACGCGGAGCTAATAGCGCGTTGCAAAGCAATCCACGAGCGTGCAGCATGGGAGCTAATGTTATGCATTTCGATATAAGCTTCCACGGTTGTCATGAGATTCGAGATGCAGTCCGCACGAATACTAGCAGCTCCTACGTCACTCATTTCGTTTGTCGATTTCAGCGCCGGTCGGCACAATTCGGATGAGAAGTATGAAGAATGTAGCTTCAGCACCGCGCGCTCTAAACTTTCTTTAGCAGTCGAACACCACTGTGCTTCGCGCAAATAAGGCTTCGCTTCGTCCATGATTGTTTGAATTCTTTCCTTGTAGGCTTGAATGCTGCCGAAGCTCATTTGTGCATGCGGACTGAGCATGCGAATCCGCACAACCTCTAGAGCCAATGATATGACTCTACAGAGAGTTTCAAAGTAGGAGAGATCTCCAGCTTTTGAGCCTTCGCGATACGCTATATCGGGCTGACTGACAGCTGTGGTGGAAGGGCGATCGTAGGACAAGGAAAAATGGCTATCTTGCCAGGCCATGGACCACCTGAGAGGGAAAGATCAGTATTTCTAGGGATTTGCAGGACCGATTGATCATAAGCATACCAAACATGCCGCCGACGGTATCGCTCATCTGCTGAAAACCGACTTGATTCGACGTGTAATCCGAGTGCCAAGCCCATTCGAAGTGTCATGCCCAGCAGTACATATGAGATGCCAGGATTCATGTTATAGGATAGGACGTTTCCAATGACTAGCAGGGTCTGGATAGCTTCGATTGTTGGTTGCGATAAGAAGTTGGTCATTCGCAGACATTGGTAAGAACAACAAACTAGATTCACCTTAGTCAACATCCATCTAGCGGGATCACTCTCGTCGTCTTACCGTAAACCTGAGAGGTCAATTCTCGTTCTTTGCTTCCGAGATCCGAGGATTGGCAACCAGATGCCAAGATAGCAAATAATAGCCCGAGATAGGCAATGCTAACACCAAAGGGGCTTTGGGATTCGTTTGCGTCCTCGCGATAAATACCACCGGACGCAATTCTGTTCTGTAGTAAGAGCTCGAGGTTGTTTTCAAATTCGGCAATATCTTCAAGGACGGGATATATGGCCCCCGCAATATCTTTGTAGTAAAAGAAGAATCTGTTGAAGTTAGAATCAGATTCAAAAAAGAACTTTCGTCTCTGATGAGATTTTACTCACTCTCGGCATTGCTGATCGGTTGGAAGTGCGCTACAAACAGCACTGATATCAAACGTCGACATATCTGAAGACCACAAATCCACAAATGGATAAGTTGCGGATTCATTATCCAGGCCAAGCTTGGGCAAAATTCCTCCTTCTAGAAGAGCTTGGAGCTGGTCCGATCCCGATTTGTTATGTAAAATATAGGCTAAGACTGATCGAGAGCCCAGGTGGACAGTTCCTTTGCCCAGTGTGTTTGCGGCATGAATGCCCTCGCGGTCCGGGGAGGCGCCTTTGGAGCGGGAGCTCACATCGGCACTCTGCACACTCCCGCTATCAATCCCAGTAGCAGGGCCATCTTCAGCACGCTCGAGTCCGACTCTTAACGAAGAGATTGTCGATTCCATCTCCCGCAGTCGATTGCGTACATTATCCCACTCCTCTCGAGCAATGGATACTCGGCCACCTACGTTGCTGCTATTCGCTCGATACTGTAAAGGTTCGTGTTTGATATGGGGCGGAGCATCTTCGTAACTGTATAGTCCGGTGTGATCAGAAGTCGTGAGTGCCGACGTTCCTTCGACAGGGCTCTCGTGGAAAGCCTGCGAGCGCTTCTTGGACGGCCGTTCGTACGAACAAATTTCCGTATGGTCGCGTTTGATACACCCGTCGCAAGGTAGGTTTCGGTCGCATTTCACTTTGCGCGCGTGGCACGGGTAGCAGGCCTTTGGTTCACGCGCCTTGCGCTTGGTGCGAATAATGGCATCTACTTGATCCTGCGGCAAATCGGACACGGAGCGGTTCTGTGCCGCAGCCATGTCGGAGGGGGAGATAGAAGGATTCGGAGGGTATGGCGAAGTCATTGTCGGATTCTCGATGAATTCCGACGGCTTAAAATGTGATTATATCGAGATTATCATGCGTCGGGTATCTGGGCTTCAATAGCGACCGGAGAAAGCGCAGAGATTCAAGGGCGACACTGGCGAATGGATGATTTCGCAGACGTTCGACTATATCTGGAGATAATTGGAGATTTGAATAAGGCTATTCCATCACTCCGTGTGGGGTATCATGGTGGCGCAGAGACAATTTTATCAAATTGAGGACGAGCTGGAGGTGGCCGAGTTCCAACTGGCCGAGCATCGCGGTGGTGACGAGCACGTGATGTGGACCCAATGCGGATGGCCTACGTCAGCGACATTCAACATCTTATTTAGTATACGCTCTACAATCTCCACTACATACAGTTTAAATAATTGATTCGCTACCGATTTCTATTGCATCTGGCTGGTTTCACCTTAAAGGTTGGACTTGGCCGTGCACCAATGCACCAACCATAGGCATTTTCTGAGCTAATTAGTGCAATCTAGGATCCACTAACTAATAGACTTGGCATAGCCGTGATATGATCATTGAACAGCCCAAATTTCGTGCCGAGCTTCCTTCTCACGTCGGTGGTGCTCTTTTACAATATTTCGAACAACAGACTGAAAGTATAGCGGGCCCTTTTCCATCTCTGGGTGAAGTAACCCGTTCACAAAAGTTCCCGAGCTCAGATTCTTCTGTGCCTCGATGCAGAGATGCTTGTCTTCGTTCATAATTCGCTTGAACATGTCGCTGACCAAATTGAAGTCTGCGTCGGAAGAGTGCATATTCCGAAAGACTTCATACCGCATCTGACAGGTCTTTGGTGAAGTTGGGGTAAATCGCTGCATGAAAAAGAAGTGAGGTCTGATTGGGAGTTAACAATTGTTTGCGAGCTGCCGTTTTTGGTAAATAGTAGAGTCCACTCACGTTACAGTCATCGAGGCATTTGGAAAGTAATATGTGCTACAGACTTTCAAGCCCGCTTTGATCTGTTCTGGCGTTGATGCTGGAAGATGGATAATGCTTCCGTCGACGGTGTCGACCGAGTATGAATTCAGATCCGCAACGGACTGCACATCAGGGTGGGCTGTGGCGCAATGATAGCATTCATTATAGTTATCAGCTAATACCTTCCAATTATATGCGCCATTCATCTCCCATGTATGGTCAAAGACGTAATTATTCCAGTCAAAGTCGCTGAAGCGAGGCTGGAGGTCAATACCCTTGAAATCTCTTTCCCACGCAATCTCTGGCTCCTCGTTTGAATCCAGGTTAACCCATATAAAGCCATTCAGATCGATATGGACATGAACTGGGCTCGAATTCGCATAACCCTGGGCGAGGAATTCTTCGGGTTGGTCAATCCGGTCCTCAGTACTGTGAGCCGAGACATCGTGAAATGCTTTGATAGCATTGTTAGTGTCTCGAAAGAGGACAAAATACCACCCTGCAGTTTCGTAGCGTAGCCAGTTTCCAGGTTTAGATAATCGCAGAGAATGCGTGGTGAGCAACCAATTTCTGGCGAAGATAGATCGCCTCTCAAGTTCATACAGAGCCTGCGACGTATACCAGTTGGCTGGGAGCGCTCTTCGTGGGGACTTCTCAGAGGAGATCGAGCATGAATTTTTAGAGGTATTAGATCCCAATAATCCTTTCAGAGTGGAGGTCATTGTGTTTTATTTTCCTAAAGAAACCGTGACCTTGGAAGGGAGTGAAAAGAGCCGGAAAGACAACTTGAAAGAGTACTAGGTTTGGTGAGCTTGAATACCTAATAGGCACTAAAGTATTCTATGTTCCAACTTGAATGGGTTTGAACCTTGGAAGAAAGCTTGGAAATCTCGTTGCTATTTATCTGGACTGAACTCGGAGCGAGAGGCGGCTACAAAGCCGACTCCGATCACAGGACCTCGGGACATGAGTATGGCCATGAGCTTGCATGAAAAAATTATGCAGTCGTTATATACATCCATGCCTACTAGTATCAAGATTCATCGCATTGACTGTAAATTAGTTACACACAGGTGATATCGTGGAATTCAGTCTCGTCCACCATGCTTAAAACGACACCGTACATAGGAATGCATCTCTTGAAACCCAGCTTGATAAGTATCCAGTTCACTCATAGGGTCTCATAAAGAATTGAGAATCAATCGTCCCACTATCTGGTCGCTTCCAGGTTTCAAAGGTTTTGCCCAAGAGACAGAAACACTTGAACGCGTCAAAGCTTCACCTACCAAGTCCAGATTGTTCGTTTTTTCCAACCAAAGAATCAGTCGTATACGTATACAGCAAGAGTCCCGGCTAAAAGGAAGAGCAAATCAGGATTACATATTTCGAGATAGATAATGAAAAACCCCCGCCAGAAGCCCTGGAGTCCGACCGCCAACCGGCATAGATATGCCTTAATTGGTAAAAACACCGTCCACGTGGGCGGTGCTGATAGCAACGACCCGGAACTTTGATTCATTTCCCACCAGCTGGCCAATGAGAAAATCACGATTACAAGAATCCTGGAATCTAGTTCCCTCGATTCAATTGGTCTTCTTACCTCTTCAAGCTCTCCTGCCTTTCAACCCAACATACAGTATATCGCTAAGACTAAGTATTTGATCGCGCAAATTTATAAAAAAACTCCTTGATTGAGTATTGGAGATTACTTCTTATAAGCTATGCCCTTGAACCTTTCTTTTCTTAGCTCAAAGACTGTTTTCTGAACATAGAGGACTTCTTTGGGAATGAGAATTCCATTCATCCAAGAGAAAAACTGTATTATTCCTATATTCTGTACGTACTTGATATCTCGTATAGAAGCATAAACCAGATGGTATTTTGTATTATTTCTATTAAGGTATGCATAGTTTCTTCTGTATTTATTCTATCATAATTCACGTACTTGTTCTAATTAATTAACAGTGAGGTTTTAGTAAAGTTTGGGTTGTGGCCAAGAAAATAGTTAATGACACACGGCTTCATGAATGTCTTTCGTCCGCGGGTGCTTAAGCCTTGACAGCTTGTTCCTCGTCGTCGGCAAAGGCATACTTCGAGAAACGACGAATAGCCTCTCCTTTATAGAAGAAGACATATGGGATTGCACAGCAAGCCAAAGCAATAAATGCGAGAAGAGAGCTTGCCCATTGGTATCCCAAGCGATTATACATCTGCTCAGTGAAAAGGACGGTGGAGGCACCCCACATGGATCGCAAAAATGTCTTCGCGGCCAAGGCCGATGCGGCTTGATGCTGATATGTGTCGACTGAATTGATATTAGCGTTTTCTTAAGGAGACCAGAAAGAATTTTAAGACATACCCAAGTAGTTGTTGGCAGAGTTATAGAGAAAAATGAAACCGAAACCAACTGGCCATCCTCCAATAGCGGGTCCGAACCAGTGGATTTGAGGGTATGAGGTCCAAGCAAAGATGAAGAGGCCAACAGGAATGAGCCAGCACGACCACATCATTGGGATGAGACGCATTTCAGCGGGGGGGCTTTCCATTATATTTCTGGCTGATGTTGATATAGTTCTTGTTGACGAATGGCGCACAGGCAGCACTCATGAGCACACCGATAGCCAAAGGAATAAACATGAGACCTGTCATGGAAGCGCTCCAGCCCTTGCCTGATTGATAGACAATCGGGTATCTGCGAATTTTGTTAGCTATTTGTCAGATCACAGAGTAATGTATACTTACGCAACAAAGAACATATAAAGCAAGCCATACAAAACAGACATGTAGAGGGCGATGAAGAAGACGATTGGCTCGAGGAAAAGGAGCTGGAAAGGTCGGAAAAGGAAGATGCGTAGCTTCTGTCCCATGGGGCGAGGGTCGAGCTCAGCCTCGGTAGTATACTTGGGGTCATTTTCCTCTGCTCGCAACTTCTTGGCCCGCTTTTGGAGAAGAATAGGAGCATAGGTCTCGGGCACAGTGAAAGTAATGAGAACCCAAGCAACGAAGGACAGAATTAGTTGAAGCCAGTACAGCCAGCGCCAGCCGCAGTTGTCACCGAGGAAACCGCCTGCAAGGGGACCGATTGCAGGGCCAATAAAAGGAGCAGCACTGAATGCCGCCATGGGGACTCCCCGTTCCTCGCTTTTCCATAGATCGGCTAAAGTACCGCCGACTAGCGTCATCGGGGCACTGAAAGCAATTCCATCGATCAATCGGCACACGATCAGAGTTCCAATGTTCTTCGAGACAGCACATGGGATGATGAAAATAACGGCAATGAGAAGGGTGAGCGCATATACTGGGCGTCGTCCGAACATTTCGGACATTGGGGCAAAGGCCATGGGACCTAAATCGTTGTCAGCAATGAACTAATATTAGCTTAAAATAATGGTAACTCACCGACACCAAAACCAACAACAAATACAGTGACAACTACAAGACTGACTTCACGAGAGACTCCGAAATCTTCCATCGGGCCCTCCAAATCAGCTGTGATGACACTGCTGGCGAATGCGACGACAAAACAAGTAAAGGCAACAACCATGGTGCAATACCACTTGTATGCCTTTGACCAATTTTTGGGATTCTCAGGATCATCTATGGTGAATGTAACCAATTTCCAATCCTCCATTTTACCGGTGGCATTTGATTTGATAGGTTTGATGATCTCCCCAGTTCGTGTCTCGGTAGTGTATTCGCTAAGGTCGGCGCCATCGTTCAATTCGCGGACGGGAAGGTCGAGATAGTCGACCTGGCCAGGACCAGAGCCAATCGAGGCAGTTCGACTTGTTGCGTTGGTATGCGTGTGATCTGAATGAGTTGCCTCCATTTCGATACTAGTAGTGTGTATCGGATCTGGGAAGGGATCGGTTTGAGTGGTGACTCTTTCCAAGGCTGGTTTTTGATACCTCAGCCCTGCAGGGGTTGGCCTCTTTTTTATATTTCATTGTTCTGGCCTTGGCATAGCAAATTTTACAGATTGCCTCTTTCCATGGATATGCGGCACAATTAACCAGTCTCCTGTTCACAGGCCGTATACTTCCCGCAGCCGCAACCTGGGGCGATCTCGAATTCCCCACCCGCTGAGAGAATTGCCTGAATTGGATTGACGGCGCTAGCCATAAAGAGTAATATGCTACGAGGGTACCGGATAATACACAAGGGACATTCCCATTCTTGACAGGTCAAGTCCGGGTTTAATCAATCGAAAGTGATCTTCTCCCATCATATCCACGTTCACCTTGGAAGTCATTATTAAGACCAAGCTTTTCAAGTCCCAATCAACTAGAGAGAAACACCCCCATCGGCACTTCTAGTATAAAGCGCTAATCGCGTAGCATTCTGTACTACATTACAATATTCTTCTTAGAAACATAACAGAAACTACTACTAGTAGTAACATATATCTACTCTCAGTCAATTTGATAACGCATAGATATACCGTGCACATAGATGGCCTCAATTTCCTTAGATTGGAGCCGCACATGAACTTGTATCATTATGGTGTCCATGCAAACCCTGTTTGCGGTTCAAGTTATCTGATCAATCAGCCATCAATTCGTTGCCTATTTGCCTTTAATATTCAGTATCACGCAACATCGCACCTCCCAACTGTCAAGCGATAGGTTGCTTTCAACAGGGTCCTTGTATCTATGTGGGGGTCCAAGAATCATGAGCCCCACTGTTATGCCTTCTTCCCCCACCCACGTTAAATGTTTTTCACGTACTTCCAGGTTCAGTCATTGGGGAAGCAATTTTTCATTTTTTAGTTAATTAACGTTTGCTATTCATGTGACACTACAGTATCTGATCTCAGTCACTGCCTCGTGTGGTGGATACGCTTTCGGAGCATATTGCCGCTTATGGCAGTTTGACTAGTCTCCTAATCCGGTAATATGTGAATTTCCGCCAAGGCCAAGAAAACTACGAGTTATCTCCGATGAGGCAAAGAAAATATTTGCATATATATAATCTACAATCCCAGTCCAGAACATAATCCTGGTTAGCATTTACGTCACTGGCGCAATTTATGATTTGATTGGGATCTAGAGTTCGCCAGCTCAATCTCTGTCCACAGTCAAGTCACTGCCAATTGAATCATACTCCTAGCAAAGTATTACTTGTGAAGCATTATCGTTTATAAACTTCCGCTTATATTTCCTGAATTATCACAGGTCCATCATATCCAAAACGCTGCTAGTATAGTTCCATAAAGGAGTGGAATAGTCAGTACAAAATGTGTAGCCGGTGTAAAAGGTGCTCTGCTGTCCCTGTAGAGCGTACAGTTTCTTGTAGAATCCAGCTCTCACATCATCAGTGGAAACAATTAGTGTTTCAGGCGAGTGGGAAGCGAAGGCTGCAATCTCGGGCTCTTTAGTCGAATATACGCCCGTCTTGCCCATACGTTTCAAGTCGGATCGAATCAGTTCTTTCGCGTCCTCGGCAGTGAAATTGCTCTCGGCCACAATCTTGCTCATGAAATAACCTGGCACGCCGGAATACTCCATTTGCCATTGAAACGGAGGCAGCGGTAGGCTCCCGGGCTGGTTACTTGGATTGGTATTAGCGACGTTAATACCGTCGGGGAGACCAGTGTTGGTAATAGCCGCGGCATAGTAGCTCTTATGGCCCCATTTTGAGAAAAGAGTCGACTCCTCTGAACGGAGATCAAAACCGCTCAAGCTGGAAGCTGTGGGAGGGAAGGTAATGAGTAGCTTCTTTGCTTTGATGAGTTTTCGGGTTCCATCGGCATTCTGGACGATCATTTCAACACCGGTAGAATTGCGCTTTGCCTGAGAAACAGTGGTTTCGTAGAAGATATTTTCCTCGGCGATATAGTTCGCAGCATTGGTAAACAGTTGATCTGTGCCGTTCTTTGGTCGAATGTATCCGCCTTCCAACAGTGCATCGATATGTGTGATACCAAAATTCTGGATCACATAGAGCAAAGGAGCATTCAGGATATCACCCACATTCTCAGCGAACATGAAGATGACTTCCATCGCACCCTGAAGGGCATGTTCTTCCACAAATTCGCGGAACGGACGGAGGAGAGCCTCCGGGACTTCGTCTGGGAGATAATAGGCCCCCGTCGACAGGTAGCTAAACTGCTCAATCGCAGCGCGGTACAGGGTAGCACCGGCGATAGTACCTAGGAGCTCATTGCCAGGAGGTACGCGTTTTCCTGTGTTAAAGTTCACATTTTCGATAATGATTGATCCCGGTAACAGAGCTTCATAGTCAACGTTGAGCTGGCTGAAAAATTTCTTGGTGATGTCGTTGTTGAAATATCCCTCTACCCCATAGTTGACATATTTATCATTCGGCAGATAAAGTGTCTCTGCATGGCCCCCCAGCCGATCTTTTTTCTCAATCAGGGCAACACTGTGGCCCTTCTCTCTCAGCTGGACGGCAGCATAGGTACCTGTAGCACCGCCTCCGAGGATGCAAACGTCGCGGGTGACGATATCCTCCACATTGAAGCCATCGGTAGAAGTTGCACAACAGGTCGCAGCTAATAAAAGCAAGCTTTCCAAACGCATGATGAGCATTAAAATTTTTTTGATGTATTCCACCTGCACCTGGGCTCATCGATTCTTCTTCATCTCTTCCGTTTGGAACCCGAGAGTCTGGCTCGGCAAATTCGGTGCACAAAAAATAGGGGGACATTAAATTCAACCAATAGAACATGGCATATCCCTCCACCTTTCTCCTAACTTTTGTTTCTTTGGAACGCTATGGATCAATAAAACTTTATTATTGCTGTGATAGGCTCGGGCTAGTTGAGGATCGACACGGGCTATCGATTGTTGGATGATGGGAAATTAACGTTCGAAAATTAGTTCTCCGTTTTTCACACAATCTCACAGACTACATCTTCTTGATTTTGAATAATTTTTTATACTCCAAAATTATTATTATATAGCTTACATTTTATTCAATGTTCGGAGAGAAAACCTTCATGAAAATCGACAGGTTTGAGGCTGAGACCCATATATACGGCTAGTTGTGCCCACCTTCCCGATAGTTCAGCCGCTTCGGGCCAAGCTTCATATGAAATCCACTCCAACGGAGAGATCGAAACATACTCTGATACATCAATGTATGATAATGGGCACACTCCCGTATCGTTTCTTTCCTGATTTTGTATTCTGAATCATCTATGTCTGATCAATCGGCAGCCATATCAGAATAGCTCTAGGAGACACTTCAAATCGTATGGGAGTCGCAATAATTCCTTGCATAGAATCTAAATCTTTTGTCAGTGAGCTCATCATTATTCATTCTTCATTTCTCAGATAAATGGTACTCGTATGAGAGCCTTGTTAAACCACTCTCGACGTCACTGGCGACTAGAAACTTGGAGTACCCAGAGCCTTTGAAATAGCATGGCCTTGTCACCCTAGTGGATTATAGATAGCCTGTTAGATAGGTAAGGTGTGCATATATTAAAATCCGTTCAATAATCCAATCTCTTACTATTTAAACAAACCGGACATCTAGAATTAGTTGCAAACCTTGGGAAGTTAGTATTTCGTATTGGAGTGCCATGAACTGCAAAGAATATGAGACCTCCCATTGGTTGAATTCGAAATACAGTGGGCCCTACTCCAGGCCGATGGTCGGCATCCCATCCATTTAAGATCAATGGCTCACAAAGAGTATTTCAACATCAGTAATTACTCGACAGATAGATCACCCTTTTCATCCTTTTCGGTTCAAACCCTCCATATTATCGATCTAACTTATTTACAGGGTCAAAGTATCTTATAACTACTCTAGTTCCCACTGGACAATGAAAAGTTAATCAGCACGTGACCCTCGATAAGCCCCCGCCGCAATTGGACGCAACAGGCTTAGGGCGGGGCCACTCAATCCTCAACTTTTTTTGAGAGTCATCGCGGGGTCTTTAGTTTTTGCTCAAGCTTAAACTCATTCTGTGAGGCACCTGAGCCATTCAACCTCCTTTATCCAAAGGGAGGATTGGTCTTGACCCGACTTACTTCCACAAAATGTCCTCCGACTCCTACCTTGCCCTCCCGGGTTCGGTGGCGTTCTCCCGCTCTCGCGGACAGGCCATCGCTGCGAGCCTGGGTGTACAGGATGTCCGAGCCCAATGGGTTCACTACATCCACACCTCTCAGCCGCTTGACAACTCGCAGCGTGCTGTCCTGGAGCAATTGCTCCGTTACGGCGACATCAACGACGTTCCTCCCACCTTCACCTCCGATGACGGCAAATTCGATACTTTCTACATCTTCCCCCGAACCGGAACCATTTCGCCATGGAGCTCCCAAGCCACCGGTATCTCACACGTCTGCGGCCTGCGCAACTCTGTGAAGCGTATCGAGCGTGGTATGAAGGTCTCCTGCCTCCGCAATGGCCCCGAAGACTACAAGACCGGCTACATGGATCTGCTCCACGACCGCATGACCCAGATCATTAGCCAAGATGAGCCAGAGCTCCAGTTGATGTTCTCCGAGCACGCCCCTCAGCCTCTCAAGACCATCTCTCTCCAGGGTGGCGCCAAGTCTCCCAAAGAGACCCTCCAAGAAGCAAACAAGGAACTCGGTCTGGCTCTGGATGAGTCTGAGATCGAATATCTCGCGGAGGCTTATGGTCCCAACGGTGCCATTGCGCGCGATCCCACTGACGTCGAACTTTTCATGTTCGCCCAAGTCAACTCCGAGCACTGCCGTCACAAGCAGTTCAACGCATCCTGGGTCATCGATGGCAAGCCCATGCCCAACAGCCTTTTCGCCATGATCCGCAACACCCACAAGAAGCACCCCGAGCACACCGTCAGTGCCTACTCAGACAACGCTGCCGTTCTGGAAGGTAGCGAGGCTGCCTTTTGGGCTCCTGACCCCACCACTGGCGAGTGGAACCACACCAAGGAACTCGTTCACTTCCTTGCTAAGGTTGAGACTCACAACCACCCTACTGCCGTTTCCCCTTACCCAGGTGCTGCCACTGGTGCCGGTGGTGAGATCCGTGATGAAGGCGCTGTTGGCCGTGGCTCTCGCCCCAAGGCCGGTCTCTCCGGTTTCTGTGTCTCCGACCTCATGATCCCTGGTAACGAACAACCCTGGGAGCTTGATGTTGGCAAGCCAAACCACATCGCCAGCAGCTTGGATATCATGCTGGAGGCTCCCATTGGCAGTGCCGCTTTTAACAACGAGTTCGGTCGTCCTTGCACAGCCGGATATTTCCGTACCCTTCTCACTGAGATTGATGTTGGCAATGGCCAGAAGGAAATCCGTGGTTACCACAAGCCCATCATGATTGCTGGTGGTGTCGGTACCGTCCGTCCCCAGCACGCCCTTAAGAACCCCGATGTTGTTAAGCCCGGCTCTTTCCTTGTTGTCCTGGGTGGCCCTGCCATGCTCATTGGTCTTGGTGGTGGTGCCGCCTCTAGTATTGCTTCTGGAGAGGGTTCCGCGGATCTTGACTTCGCCAGTGTCCAGAGAGGCAATGCCGAGGTTCAGCGCAGAGCTCAAGAGGTTATCAACGCCTGTGTTGCGATGGGTAACAACAACCCCATCAAGTTCATTCACGATGTTGGTGCTGGTGGTCTCTCCAACGCCCTTCCAGAGCTTATCCACGATTCCGGCCTGGGAGCGAAGTTCGAGCTTCGTGAAGTTGACAGCGCTGACCGCAGCATGAGCCCCATGCAAATCTGGTGCTGTGAGGCTCAAGAGCGTTATGTCCTGGCTGTCGGTGAGGATTCGATGAACAAGTTCACTGCCATTGCTCACCGTGAGCGTTGCGGCTTCTCCGTTGTTGGTCGCGGAGGCGGCACTTCTGAGGAAGAGAAGCGTCTTATCCTGATGGACCGCGAGTCTACTGAGTACCCGGCCCCCATCGACCTGCCCTTGTCGGTCCTTTTCGGCAAGCCTCCTCGCATGACCCGAACCGTCGATTCGCGCAAGTTGACCCTTCCCGCTGTGGACTCCAGCCTTACCAAGTACCTGCCTTCGCTCACTTCCAAGACCGAGCTGGTTGGTGAGGCCGTGAACAGAGTTCTCTCTCTACCTGCTGTCGGCTCAAAGTCTTTCCTTATCACCATTGGTGACCGAACCGTCGGTGGTTTGACCGCTCGTGACCAGATGGTTGGCCCATGGCAGACCCCCGTTTCCGATGTCTCTGTCACTGCTACCTCTCTGCTCCAGGGAGTGAAGACTGGTGAAGCTATGGCTATGGGTGAGAAGCCTACCCTGGCTCTTATCTCATCCGGTGCTTCCGCTCGTATGGCTGTTGCTGAGTCTCTTATGAACATTGCCGCTTCTGACCTGGTGGACCGTCTTTCCCAAGTGAAGCTTTCCGCTAACTGGATGTCCGCCAGCAGCCACCCCGGTGAGGGCGCTGCCATCTACGAGGCTGTTGAGGCCATCGGTCTGGATATGTGCCCTAAGCTTGGCATTTCCATTCCGGTTGGTAAGGACTCTATGTCAATGAAGATGAAGTGGAAGGACGAGGCCTCGAACGAGGCCAAGGAGGTTACTGCGCCCATGTCATTGGTCATTACCTCTTTCGCCCCCGTTGGCGACTACCGCAAGACTTGGACCCCTGCTCTCCGCAGCTTTGAGGATGTCGGAGAGACTGTCCTCATGTTCGTTGATCTCGCTTTCGGTCGCAAGGCCCTTGGTGGATCTGCTCTCGCCCAGGTCTTCGGTGAGGTTGGCTCTGAGTGCCCTGATGTTCGCGACATGGATATCTTCCGTGACTTCTTCGATGCTACCCAGCAGCTCCAGGAGTCTGGAATTGTCCTGGCCTACCACGACCGCTCCGACGGTGGACTCCTCACTACTCTGGCTGAGATGATGTTTGCTGGCCGTTGTGGTGTCGAGATCATGACTGACAACATCTGCTCCTCCTTCAACACCCCCGACGTTGTCGAGGCTCTCTTTAACGAGGAGCTGGGTGCTGTCTTCCAGGTTCGCAAGGAGCACGAGATTCAGTTCCGCTCTTGCTTCGCTACTTGTGGTCCTCCCGCCGGTCTGATTCACAAGATTGGTCGCGTTTCTGAGCAGCCCAAGCAGAACCTCACCATCTACCACAAGGCCTCCCTGATCTTCCGCGAGACCCGCGCCAAGCTCCAGCAAACCTGGTCCAAGACCTCCTACTCTTTACAAAAGATCCGTGACAACGCTGAGTGTGCCGACCAAGAGTTTGAGAACATACTCGATGACAAGAACCCCGGTCTGTCCTGGAACCCTAGCTTCGACCCCAAGGACCGAGGCCTGCCCATCATGACCAGTCTCTCTCAATATTCACCCTTCACCAACAAGCCCCGCGTCGCCATTCTCCGTGAACAAGGTGTCAACAGTCAGGCCGAGATGGCCTTCGCCTTCAACACCGCCGGCTTCTCCGCCGTCGACGTCCACATGACCGATATTATCTCTGGTCGAGTTTCCCTGGCCAGCTTCGCCGGTCTCGCCGCCTGCGGTGGTTTCTCTTACGGTGATGTTCTCGGTGCCGGCCAAGGCTGGGCCAAGTCCGTCCTGCTGCACGATAACACCCGTAAAGAATTCCAATCCTTCTTCGAGCGCCCCGACACATTCGCCCTGGGTGTCTGCAACGGCTGTCAATTCCTGTCTCGCGTGAAGGAGCTTATCCCCGGTGCCGGCAACTGGCCCAGCTTCGAGCGCAACACTAGCGAGCAGTACGAGGGCCGTGTCTGCATGGTCCAAGTTTCCGACCCGGATCCTTCGCGCCCTGGAGTCTTCTTCCACGGTATGGACGGTACTTCTCTGCCCATTGCCGTTGCCCACGGCGAAGGCCGCGCATCGTTCGCCGGTACCCCCGGCATGTCTGCTAGCGACTTTGTTCGCGAGGGTCTGGCTCCTGTCCGCTTTGTCGACAATGCTACTCTCAAGCCTACCCAGCGTTACCCCTTCAACCCTAACGGCAGTCCCGAGGGTATCGCTGGTGTCCGCAGTCCCGACGGTCGTGTTCTGGCCATCATGCCTCACCCTGAGCGTACCGTCATGAACGGCATTGCCAGCTACAACTCTCCCGATGCCGAGCAGTGGGGTGACATTGGTCCTTGGGGCCGCATCTTCTTCAGTGCCAGACGTTGGGTTGGCTAGAGAGCTTGAGAAGCTCTCACTATCGGTTGTGTCTCATTTCATGTTCATGTTATACGCGTTTCCTTGTCTATAGGTTGTTTATCTTTGGTTATTTTGGAGTGAGATGGGTTGTGTTAAGTTTAAAAGCATTTACGAAACAGAGAATGAAATATAGCACATAGACAATTACTTACCTTCTGTCAATGATTATACTACTATTGTTCTAGGGTGAAGCCACTGGGCAGATGCTTTGCTCTTGACTTTGAACTGACGAGCTATGCATAATACTAAAAGCGATGATCTTCGAGAATTTCATTTCATGAGGCCCTAGTTTCGAGGTTTCTATCCCTCGTCATAAACGCCATATTACCATAGATCATAAGGGAATCGGAAATAAAGAAGCAAACCCCAGTTGGTTGCCATCAATTTATCGCCATAACTCCAGAGCAAATGCAAAATGCAAAAAACCAATCAAGCCATCAAACTTCATTAATTTAAGCCGCTATGACCTGAGCCAGCCTTTCTGCCATTCAAGTCTATCTGCCAGAATATTCCAGCTCGGCATACCGTCAGCACGAGCTACGCCTTTCAACCCATCGGCGACGAAGCTGGCCAGATGGTCAAATTGCAGTTTCACGTTCCGCATCTGCTGGTCATAGGGCGAGTCTCGGAATGATATCGTGAGCGTTTGTTCATGGTCGAACTCATTCTTGTCCTCGTCCCAATCGGAATCGGAATCATCTTCCGCGACTCGGCTGGGACGCAGTGCGTCCAGGTTGATAGTGTTATCTGGGTCTGCCGGGCCTTCTTCAGCTGCGTGAACGGTCTGCAGATCCGCGAAGTTTATCGAAAGATCCAGGAGGTTGATTATAGCTTCGTGGATCGGCGAGAGATTCTTGCTGAGAAGGCATTGCTCTTCGAGAGAGGCCGTATAGGATTGATGAACGGCAATCATTGCATCAACGTCTTCAGCATTTGAGAGCGCCAAGTGGAAATATTGATTTGAGGTAGCTATGACAAAGTATGTGAGATGGGAGTAGAGGGAGTCGAGGAACCATAAGAGGTTGTGGTGGAGGGCATGAACGAGCTTATTATCTTTACCATCTCCTCCAGCTCTGCGCGCCTCTCGTGCGCGTTGTTTGACGATGGCATACTTTGAACGTCGGATCTGGAGGAGAAATGTGGATATGCGCTGGTATGTTGCCATTGCATCTGGAGTGATGATATTGGCGACTGGCCAAGGAAGTACGTAGTCGATGGAAATTGATTCCAAAATTCGGACACTGCGGTTGGGACTTTGGTGATCATAGGTTGAACAACCAGCCGATCGCACAATGAGTCTTGAAGGGTCGATGGTGGGCATGACACTGAATGCCGATCTCGTGACCTCCATTAAGAGGGAATTTATCGTCCCACGAGCGACCCCGGTCCATCAGCTCGAAGATCTTAGTGTCGATCGTGCCAAGGATGCTCAAATCGCTGCCGAGATACACGTGCTGCAAGGCATCGAGCGAAGTCCACAGGCCGCATTGCTCATCAAGCTCCTTCCGCAAAAGACCGGCACTAGAAGAATGGTGGGAATCCACTAGGCGATCGAAGGCAGACTCCACCAGAGAAGAGAAAGGGAGTGGTAGAAATGAGCCGGTAGATTGAGAGTCTTGGAGCATCAGGGCTCCATTTTGTGGGCGTTCGGAGATGTCAGGAAGCGCGTTGAGGTGGCGTAGAAAAACCATGCTCTTGCCGGTAATGAAAATTTTGCGAATGCCGGCTTTGAGAAATTTGGGAATATTCTGTGGTCGATCTACATCATCCAACGTATACCAGTCATGCCAGATAGTTTTGAAATCACGGTTTTCGGCGTGTTTTTGAACAAAGAACGTGTTGTCTTGGGAATCGAGATACCCAGTTTCCATCCAGCGTGAGATGGATGTAGTATAGGTCTTGAGGCAAGAGAAAAATAGAGCAGATAATGTTTCGCTTTCGTCACCCAAAGCTTCTCGCATGCAAACCAAGTCATAAAGCAGGTCAAGACAACGCATGGGCTGGGCCTCCGAACCTCTTTTCAGTCTGGAGATTAGGTCCGACAACAGCTGCAAGTGGCAGGAGTGCTGGCGAACGTCATTGAGCAATTGAAGTAAGCTTACCGTACACCCAGCGGAAAGGTAATTGACTTGGTTCTGTGAGAGCTTTCTGTCAAACTCAAGCAAGCGCTCCTCTATGCCCCGACAAAACGTTTGCATGTAAGGAATCACCTGTGGGGACTTGGTGAAGCGCCGCAAGGAATCAATCTGAGTGCCAATTTCCATGAATGACTGAAGCAGGGACGAGAGGGCTTGACTGGATGAGTGCTTCAATGTATAACTACGATCCATCACGACATCTTCGTCAAGATGCCAAAAGATCGATGTGGGCAGGCCTTGAAGCATGAAAATTGTCTCACGGGCCAGTTGAAGTTCTGTGATGATTTGAGAGGCAAGTTCCTTGCCGCGAGGCACTAGAGCCTTGTTCTCCGATCTCCAGAACTGACCTTTCCTTATGGAAACCAGAAGGTCTCTGTCGTCATCTGCCGGTACGAAAACATCGTCGGGGATAACATATTCAGCTTCTATCCCGCCGTCCAGATTTGACAAGTCCCGGGGAGCTGAAATTTCACTGGCGATAGACGAAAAATCATCATCTGAGGAGCCAGCCGCAAAGTCGACCTCTTCCCAAATGTTCTCGTCCTCGAACGCGGAGTGGGGATTCACATCCAAGTTGGACCAAGATAAAGGACCGTCATCATCAGCCGGTAAGGCTTCACGCTTTGGTAAGTTTTCAATTCTGGACAATAATGATGGGCGGTCTGATAATTGCAGTAGCAGACTCAAAATTTCGGGATGCCATGCATTGGGGTAGTTTTCTAGTTCGGAGAGCCGTGTGCGGAGAGCATCGGCCAATTCTGGTCGATCGACAACCTCGAATTTCTCCTGCAAACCATCCAGTTGGCGCGCAACTGCAAATTGATCAACCCTGCCATGGGGACCAGGGCGGAGAGCCCGTTCCACTCGTCGACGGAGAGTCTGAACGCGCGGCGAGTCCTAGATATTGGATCAGCAAGTGTGGAGAGGAATAGCTCTGTGGGCAGGTTTGGGTACATTTCCAGGCGCGACTTTTGCAACTTCCACGACTAGCTGGTTGGTCAGCTCGCCGAGGGCGAGTACCATTGTGAAAAACTCTCGAGTTGTGAATGTTAAATGTGAATATGATGGTGGTGGTTGATAGTAAAGGTTACTAAGTATCACCGCCCGCGCGTCCCCAGTTGGCGACGATGAACGCTAGTCCCAATGAGGGATAGTGTGGGCCGAGACTCGCCGGCGCGAAGGTTGGTGTTGGCTTGTGTTCTTGCGACTCCTCCGGTCTCCCCCCTTTCACATCAATCCGCAATCATGGCGATCGCACGACCGATTCGCATGCTGGGTGCGGCTTGCATCTTATTGACTCTTTTCCTGGTCTTCCAATTAAACAAGGACCCCCAAAATCCTACCTCCAAACTCACCCATGGCATGACCAGAGATCCTCTTCTAGATCGTGAGTTGCCACTTTCCACTCATCTTCCATAGATCGACCATCTTCGCTTTCTCCCTCAAAAAACTAACCTTCTCGTGACAAATAGCCACCGGAGAACCGGCCGGGAATTTATGGAGAGCCGAGGATCATGACTACGCCGCCGGTAGCGAAAAGTCCAGCCGCACCAATGCCGCACTCATCACCCTGGTCCGCAACGAGGAGCTGAATGACATGCTCAGCACCATGCGGGACCTCGAGCGCACCTGGAACAACAAGTTCAACTACCCTTACATCTTCTTCAACGACAAGCCCTTCACCGACGAGTTTAAGCAGAAGACACAGTCAATGACCAATGCCAAATGCCAATACGGTACGTTCCGAACTCTTGGATGTTATCTCGATTTTACACTCAAAACACGATAGCTAATATAGTGCCCTGTAGAGTTGGTTCCCAAGGAACACTGGGATGTCCCCAAGTGGATTGACAACGAGCTCTTCAAGGAATCTGCTCAGATTCTCTTAGAGGAGAACATCCAATACGCTGACAAGATCTCCTACCACCAGATGTGTCGCTGGAACAGCGGCATGTTCTATAAGCATCCCGCCTTAGATGGTTACCGCTACTACTGGCGCATTGAGCCCAAGGTCCAGTTCTTCTGCAATGTTGACTACGACGTGTTCCGCTATATGGAGGATAACAACAAGACCTACGGTTTCACCATCAACTTGTACGATGCGCCCCAAACCATCAAGACCCTCTGGCCTGAGACCAAGAAGTTCCTTGCTGCGAACCCCAGCTACCTGAACGACAACAATATGATGGACTGGATCACGGATGATGTGGTTCGCCCCGAACACAACAAGATTGCCAACGGCTACTCGACTTGCCACTTCTGGTCCAACTTCGAAATTGGCGACCTCGACTTCTTCCGTGGCGAGAAGTATGATAATTACTTCCAGTTCCTGGATCGCGCGGGTGGCTTCTTCTACGAGCGCTGGGGCGATGCGCCCGTCCACTCGCTTGGTGTCGGTCTGTTTGCTAACGCCGCTAATGTCCACTGGTGTGTTTCACCCCCCCTCCCTCCCACATGCCCATACGTCTGACCCACCTCGCTAATCACAATTGTCGTCACCCAGGTTCCGTGATATTGGTTACAATCACATCCCCTATTACAATTGTCCCAACTCGCCCAAGTGCTCTGGCTGTACTCCGGGCAAGTCCTACGCTGGCGCAGACTGGCTGCAGAAGGAGGACTGCCGACCGACCTATTTCAAGTACGTCGGAACGCACTGAGTGATAGACCGTGACATATTTGTCATTTGACGACACTTTGCATCACCTTGCTTATCTGATGAATATATTTTCCCAACTCGGTGGTTTGGTACCTGGCGTTTAGAGCGGACAACATACCTATTGATGACTTCCGTTTTCCTTCACCTGTGATTCCAGTTTTTTTTTTTTTGCTCTTACACACAAATTACGTTCCTGGCTATGATCTTGCTTCGAGATTCGTGGGTCCAGCCTTCTCTGTACTTATATTGGTTGCACATTGTCAATTCGTCGATGCTTGGTTTACTTCCTGTGCTTAATAGTTGGCAGATTCAAGTTGGTCTTCATTCCAGGACAATTGTTAGTAGACCATAATCTCCCCTACTGCGCGTAGTACTAGTCGTATTCCTAGTACTTCGGATAATTTCGGATATCAGGCTTGGTACCTACTAGGAAGGTAATAGGTAGTAACTGAGTAAATAAGTTCAAGTTGGTACCTATTCGACTTGTGAAAGTGCCAAGTAGCCTTTGATTGGTTACCCCGACGCCTGATAGTTTGCTATTTCTATCATGTTCCCAAACGTAGGCTAACTCTGAGTCTAGTAATAATGACCAGTACTAGTAGTGAACAAAGAAGTAGATTAAGTACCAATCAAGATTGAACCAGATTGTACTTTTTTCCAGACGGGACTAACAACACAGGAGATCTCTAAAGTATGTGTACAGCTTTCTCTCCTACCCTCCGCTCGGCGCGGCCAAAGAGAGACATGTGCTTGGCCAAGGGCGACATGTGTGGGTTGGGGGTAAACTTCGTGAGAGAAAAGTGATGGGGAAAAGGAAACACAATAAAAAATTGTGGAAAGCGCTAATTTACTCCTCCTGGGGGTACAACTCCTCGCGGAGAGTAACGCCCAGCTCTTGGCGGAGGCCCTCGAGAGCCTCAACGTATTGCTTGTACTGCTCCTGGGTCTCGACCTTGGCCTTGATGCCTGTTGCAGGTGTTAGCGGTATGTTCCCAATCTGACAAACTGCTGGGATTCTTGGTTATTTGCGTACCCTCGAAAACACGGACGGCGGTGGGGAAGTCGTTGACACGGCGGGCGGCCTTGAGGGCGGCAGTGAGGACCTCGACGGAGGGGACAAGATCGTAGGCGAAGCAGTTGTTCAGGTTGCGCTGGATAAATCGAATCAGTCATTGGTGCTTTCAAGGTATGTATGTGTGGGCCTTCATGAGGATAGCTCTGCAATTGACCATATATGTCGCAAAGTCGAGTCGTCATTTCCGAGGTTGGGGGTCTGAGATAAGTGATCGTACCTGGAGCTCGAAGACATCCTGCACACCGTCGAATTCCTTCTCGAAACTGCAATTGAGACGAATTGTCAGTAGGTTGCTTTCGAATAGAGCTTGAAATATATTAACGCGGGCTGTCGGGCAGCACTCAGAGAGACAATCTCGAGGCGCGATACCCGGCAACCTCCCGTCTCCTCTTCCGGCCGAAGCCATTGGGTCGCAGGGGTGATCCTACCGAGCAGAGAACTCCTCGAAGGTCTCGTCCTCGTGGCCGGACATGCGCTTGGGGGTGATGCCGAAGAAACGGGCGCGGGTAGCGGCCACAGTGACCGGGGTCTGCACCCGGGAGCGGACGATCGGAGCTCGGATGAAGCTGGCAGGGCGGACGGCGCGGGTCGCGACACGGAAGATAGAGAGAGACGACATTTCGGAGAGGATTTTGGGACCGGAGTCAATGGGGGAGAGGTGGTGAGGGGAGATTCGATGGGGGGGGGGGGAAGGGAGAACGAAGTGTCGTGTTAGCCGGCTGGATTTTGCGGGTGGTGTGGTGTCGACACCTCAGGCCATGATTGGCTGGATCTTAGTCATCACCCGATGTGGCCCGTTGATCGCAAACGCTTCTCCGTGATTGGCCGAGTGATCTGACAGCAGTATCTACTATACTTGAAGCCATCAAGATACCCCGGGATGATGCCTACATTGGCAGCGCAGAAGTTTTCGTAGTGAGCACAGATGGAATATTTGATAGGAAATTTGAAGAGCCCGGGGAGCAGGAAATTGCACTACAATAGGTGTACTGGCAGTACTAATATCGCTTTTCTTGTCCAATGAGATCAGCGATGATATATACCTACTACTAGTTGTAGTATCCAACGCAAATGATTGAACAGTATTACCTAGTAGACACTACTACTCAGCATGATGTTATCCTGACCAGGTGGGCATGGATGCCACGGGCACTACTAGTACTATTACTAATACCACTGGCAGTGGCAGTGGCCACGTTCAAATTTCGAACAAAACTCCAGGGCTAATTGAACTTGTTCAAGCTACCCAGATGAACTTGAATCGTCCGAGTCACCCTGGCAGGTGTTCAATTTGCAATATGTTACTAGTAGAAATTCAACTTGAAGAAATGTGTATGGTACCTGATTGATATGCAAGAATTTACTAGTACAAGTTCCTGGCATTAGGGTACCCTCAGGCTGGACCCGCGGTTGTCATTCAATTAAGCTAAGAACTCCAGTATATATAGAAGACTGCCAGTGACGGTACTGCTAAGTGATACCAGTTACCAGGAGCCCTGGAGTATATACTAGTAGTAAGTATCCGTACTAGTACTCCGTATCCATGAATCCCCACGCCATCCCATTTACGCATTGACTTGGCAAGTGGAGACGATATCATGGATCCAATTACAGAATAAGCGCAGCCCTAACGAACCCCTGATGAGAGTCGTACAGAGTCAGCCTAGGATGAGCTTGTGAATGATACTACACTACCGTGCAGTCATATTCAGCTGCAACCCTCTCTCGGGGATCAATTGGTCGAAATTCCAAGGGTATCGGTGGTCATCTGCGTGGCTACTGGATCGGTGTAATTGGGAGGCCAATATTGGTGCAATTGGTTGGGGGGGCCCCATTTCTTATTTACTTCAGCCGAAAGCGGTGCCAATGGTACCTGGCTGAAGACGGCATGTGATGGGGCGGGGACTGAGTACACTCCATACATTGTGAATCAGCCGATGAAGGGAGTATGATAATGTGTAATTAATATTCTTATAGATATTATGTATTTATAAATATTATAATATTATAATATCATAATATTAATCAATAGATACCCCATGTTTTGATCAAGAAGTATGAAAGAACCTCGGAAGCTGCGGGTGCCCCTTTTCATGCCGCGCTAGTCCCAATTGGTCGGTACCCAACGGACGCGCCGGGAGAGAAAAAGAGAGAGTCCCGAGTCCCTTTTCTGACTTCCTTCTTCATCCACGCGCTCATCGTCCTCTTCTCCCCATTCCTTTCCATTCCTTCTCGCGTGCCTTGTTCGTCCATATCGGGGACCTTCTTCTTCTTTTTTTTCCTTTTTGT